GTTGGCACGGCCTCGAGCGGCAGAGAACCAGACTGGTTTGTCTTGAAACGGACAGGTTGCCCGGGTTGGCACACCGTCACGCTGACTCTGAACCTTCACCAAACCCCCCCACCTCCAAAAAAAGTAGTGCTTTGGCGCCATCTCGTGGCATCCTGGTTGAAGTGAGGTACAAAGTACGACTTTAGGATGAGAAGGCTTTGTCCCGTCTCGTAGCAAAGTGTTACGTTGGCGCCATCTAGCGGCATCAACAGCCGCCGCCAATGACTTGCAGATCGAGGCACCAATTGCTTGACGCGCATCCCCTGTTGCTGTTCACTTTTCACTCATCCTCCTATTCACGTTGGGCTTTTTTTAGTTTATGTTCTGAAAGCCCCTGAAAGATGCCACAAGGTACCTCGTATTCGAAATGCTGCTGCGCTCGTTGGCTAGCACCGCGATGCTGACCACCTGACAACCTATTTGTAGCTCCTCACGATGAATACTTTTGACCCTTTTGCCTTCTCAACCCAGTTTACTTGGGCGTAAGTAACCCAGGATCGTCTCGATTCCGTTTGGAACGCCCGCTGGGCGATTTTGCCTCATTTGGGTTGCTTTTAACCCAACGGTTTTACCAGTGTTCCAAAGCCCTAAGAATTGGTGTCAAGGAAGTATGGCACGTGGACGTGACAAGCGTGTTCTGTCGGGGAGGAGCTCACTTTGTCCTGCGACATTCCGGAGAGTCTTCATACGCTTTTTGTTTGTTGGCGATCGAATCATCTGCAAGCTGTTTTCATTATTTTTTTGAAGGCTGGAGTCAGATGATTTGGCGTCATGGTTTTGTGGTATGTTGACAATGAAGCCATGAGCTGAAGTGGCGCACTCTGTTTTCCAGGCGCCCGTCCAGCCCACGACGCCTGTTTCGGAGACGTCAACGCCGCAGGAAACGCTTTCGGGAACTGCGGGAAAGACGAGCGCGGCAACTATGTCAAGTGCGCAAAAAGGTGACCGCCAAAGGGCGTGGCGGCATCTGCCGCCACGTCCGCCGGTCGGAACGAGCTGTTTTGCGGCACCCCGGGGGAAATCGGACATTCGCATCATCCTTTCCGGTGTCGAGGCGAGAAACAAATAGGCTGCTGCTTTGACTCTTTTGTCCAAAAATGGCACCGCTGACTGCGCATACTGGAGATGATTTGTGGGCTCACGTGTTCTCCCCCTCCAACATCTGTTTTGTTTTTTTGTTTTTTTTGAAGGGGGGGGGTGGCGTTGCCATGGCACGCTGCCGCTGCTAATTAATGGATCCAAATGAGCAATTTAGTTATGTTAATGAACCTGCGGATTAAGGAAGTTGATTGCTGCGCTGCCCACAACGATTATGCGGCCCCCAGGAATCATTAGACGTTGTTGCGGTCGCAGCGAGGCTGATTAGAGGATATGTAAATGCGATATCTCTCCCCTGTTAGAATCTGCCTAATCTTTGCATTAGTCACTGCAACAACTCTGCTTCATCCTCCTGTAATTGTCAGCCCTTTTTTTAAATTTTTTTTTATTACCCCTCAGATGGTGCGCGTGAGTTTGTGTACTTTGCCTGTTTTCATTTGCATATCAATGAGGAAGCCATTCGACAGAATTTTGACAAAGTGGAAAAAGGCCCCAGTTTTTTTTTTTCTTTTTGTCATTGGAAAGTTATTCACGTGAATAATCCCCTCATTTTTGTGCATTGGAAAAAATCCTAAATTGTTGCTGTAAATGGAAGCGGACTTTTCCCCAAGTGTGATTGTTGTTTACAGCCACTACATGGTGTCGTTACATTCTTAAGATTCCGTATGTGGAGTGAATGCTCGTATTTTAGGGCAGCAGACAGGTCTCGGGTCGTTCCTTTGTTTTTGTTTTTTTTTTTTCATTTTCACTTTTGTTTTGGGGGAAATTCAGTTAGCCTTGACGAATTGCCCGCTAATGTCGTTAGCTCGACAAGTGGAGTTTGATTTCATTTCTTTTTCCTTGAAGCGTTTCCGTTTCTATTTAATTTCGTGAGCAAAAACACTTTTGCGATTGTTTTGGGAGTGATTTCGTCGGTCTGCGTTGACTCGCGTCACCTTGTGTCCAGTGACGCCAAATGCGGGAAGATCCAGTGCCACAGCGCCGCCAAAAAGCCCAAAGGCACCAACGCCGTGTCCATCGACACCACCATCAGGACGGGGGGCGTCGAGGTCAAGTGCCGCGGCACCTACGTCTACAGCACTCAGGACGGCCAGGGCGACCTGCCCGACCCCGGCTTGGTCATGACGGGCACCAAGTGTGGCGAGGGCAAGGTCAGTCGCGGCTTGCTTAACACCCCCCCCTCCTCGGCCGCACAATGACATCTGTGCATTTGTTTGCTCCGTCTTTGAGCCTGTTTGCGCGTTTGCGGGCGCTCGTGAGCTTGGACTCTGCGTTTGATTCTGACTCACTTGCGTGTGTCTTCCCAGGTGTGCCGCGACCGCCGATGTCAAAACGCATCCTTTGGCGAGCTGGAGACTTGCATGTCACGCTGCCATGGCAACGGGGTGAGGACACAAAAGCCGATCCGACCGTCACGCCGCGCCGCTTTTCGCAACAACGGCGGCAATCGAGACAATAGGAAAAAAAGCCAGCCGTGTCTGTCAGGAGTTGAGCCAGATAAGGAGACGACAGCATGCAAGATTCATGAGTCCAGAAAGCTCTTGACGGGTCAGCTGGCTTTTAGCTGATAACGGAACCAGCAGCTGGAAATGGCCGCGTAGGTCAGCATATTCCAGTCTAGTTCCCTTATCAAGTCATCTGATGTTGGACTTGGCCACACTCGTGCGTGTGCGAGCATGCGTGCGTGCGTGCGTGTGTGTGTGTTTGCACACGTTGTAAAATTCATGAGGACATCATCCAGACTGGGCTGGGCTCTTCTTCTTTTTTTCCGCTTTGACTTGATCTTCTTGCCCGCTGCGCCTGCTGCAGGTGTGCAACAGCAACGGCAACTGCCACTGCCATCGAGGTTGGGCGCCCCCGTACTGCGAGAAGCCGGGACTCGGCGGCAGTGTGGACAGCGGGCCTGTGCAGTACGACAGTCAGTGCACACATGCACACACACACATTTGAAACCAAAACTGTGAACTGAAATTACATCTGGCCGCTGACAAATACAGAAATTACATCTTACGTTTTATAAAAGTGCAATGAGACGTTAAGATAAATATAGATTCTTATTTGTGTTTTCACATGTTGCAACTTTATTGGAATTGTCTTTGTGACGAAAACAAACTACAATTGTTGTTGTATTACATAATACATAGTGAGTTTTGCGCTCAATAAGCACTCCATATATTTAAAAAAAAAAACACCCTAATACTAACACTAAGCTAAAATGAAGCATTTTGGAACCGAACAAAATCGAACAAACCTTCGCTAAAAACCTACATCAAACTGCATTAAAAAAAAGTCCAAATGTACTCAAAACTAACGAGAATATCAAATCCCCAAATATTTTCACCCCAATGGGCTCGCTTTTAAAATTGTGAAAAACAAAACATAGTCCTGTTTCGGAAGACAGTGGTCCAATTTCCAGCGTGGTGCGTTGCAGGTCAGGTGGGCTTGGTGGCGGGCCTTTTGTTTGCCTTCCTGGTGGTCCTGCCCGGCGTGCTGCTGCTCTTCTACTGCTACCGGATCAAGACCTCCTACTTGCACAAGTGGCTCGCGCAGAGAGAGAAGAACAAGAGCAACAAGTAGCGTACCCGTTCTCTCACTTCAATTAGCAACTTTGAAATGCGTCCACATTTGCGCCTCGTAGCCTGCCTTTGTCAGTGCATGGGCGTGCGTGTGTGTGCGAAACAGCTTAGAATATGAGATGTCATCCATGTCTCTAGTTAGGTCGACATTTGGTGCCGATAACTTGGTTTGTGGTTTGGTGGAGTTAGCGGCTAGTGGTTGCGATGCTTGGAATGCGCCCTCTTGTGGTCAGGATGGAGACGGAGAAAGCGAAGAACAGCCACCTGAATCCTGCCTTTCACCTGAAAGTGGTCGGCCCAATCAGCAAAGCCAGCAGCCACAAGGGGGTGAGTTCAGCACATTTTTTTTAAAAAACGAACAAACAAAAACAACTGAAGTTCATGTTTGGTTTTGTCTTTGTCCGCCCTCGAGCTCTCTGCCACCAGCAAAGAGGTTCTTCCTCTCCGACCAGACTCTGCGGCTGCTGGCATCCAGCCGGTCAACATCGTGCGGCCCCTGCGGCCCGCCCCCTTCACGAGGGACGTCAAGGGGCCCCGGCCGCCCCTCTCGTCCGCCCCACGGCCATCCACGCAGCAACTGAGCCCGCCCAAGAAGCCCCTTCCCCTCAACCCTGCGCGATCACCTCTGGTGAGACTGCCTGGAAAATTATAGCAAGTTCAAGTCAAAGCATGTTTTTCCCCATTTTGGGTGCCGCTCTCGTCATTTCTGTCCAGTGGGGACGGCGATTGTCACACGCATCGATGTGTTGACAGAATATAGTTCACTTGCAGAAAAGTAAAGTGTGAATGCGAACCGCACCAAACAAAAATTCAGTCCTGACCAAACAAGTGGACCAAAGGACTTTTTTGGTGTGCACGGGCGCTACCACCCGAACTGTTGGTTGAGTGTCTAATGACCGGTAAGCTCGCTCACACAGTTACCACCCTATAACCTTTCTCTTCCCCCCCCAAGCCCAGACCGTCACCCTTGCCCCCCCAGAGGCCCCTCCCCCTCAGTCCCACCAGAGGAGGCTCCCCAGTGAGGGTGCTCACCCCGAAACCGTCGCAGAGCCTGCGGGTCGTGATGCCCACAGCCGGAGGACTCAAACCTGCGGGCAGAGTGTCCGGCGTCCCCCCTCACAGAGCTCTCAGGTGATTTTGCCGATTTGCTGAAAGCACTGGGACGAACAACAAAGATAATTGTAGAGTCATTAAACATACGGGGGGGGGTTAGTCGTTTCTGTGTTATTCTACTGTACAACTAATGGAACATAAAATAACACGACTAAGAAATGAAATGGACCAATCAGGAATAATAATTACGCCTTAAAATGTAAACATAATATTTTGAAAGTTATGATCCTACATACAGCGTTAGCATCATTGCTACTTGCAAATATGACACGATTGATTGCGACTTTCATCCGCTGGCTGCTGGCTAGTTATTAGCGGCTAAACTGCTAATGATTACATGGGCAGGCTGTGCAAACTCCGCTCGCTTTTTCATGCTTTCCACTTGATCACTAGGGTGCTGCTTGTTCAAATGATTCAACGGGTTTCATGTATCGACTTGTTTTGACTACATAGCATGCACAACAACCTCCTCCTTCACATCGCCAAGAGAGGAACTTCTCTTGTCCAAATAGCTTCGTCTTTGGAAGTCATGGCTACCCATCAGCGGCGCGTTTAGCTGGCTGTACGTTTGGTCAATTTGATACTCTCACTTTGTTTACTGCTTCTTCTTTCGTTTATTAGCGAATTCTGTTGATTTCAACTTGCAAACCAATGTCAGAATGTGGCTCGAATCGCGCACATTTCCGCCACGTCCGGTGGAGTCAATATGCTCACAGCACAGCTGAGCGGCCCGGTAACGGTCCGCGGACCGTTAATTGGAGACCCTGGCCTTCGAAGATATGGGTAATTTTCATATAATTTGATCAATAACGATAAAGAAACCAAAAAATATAATAATTTCGCACGATTCTAATAACGGTGCGCTAGTTCCGACACACATATCTCAGACACAGAGCGAAAGGGATACATAATTTGTTGTGAAGTTGTCTCATTTTCCTGGTTGGGAATCACTGCTTGAAGCAATTCCTTGTCTCCCCCAGACCGGTGCCAGGTGCCAAAGCGGACGCGACGTCGCCTCCGTTTTGAAGACGGCCTTCCTCTTCTCCCTCCAAGCCATTTTCTGTGTTGCTCAACTACCGAGCGGTGCCGGCACAGGACGGCGTTTTGACGAAAGCGACGGGTCGGCGCGCTGGAAACATTTGGCACATTTGACGCAGTTTTGCACGGAGGTCTCGCAGACTGAGATGGAGCAGCACCACAATTTTTGCCAAAATCGTTTCTTTTAAAGTCTTTTTTTTTTTTTTTTTTTTTACATTCTTTGTACGTGCAAAATGTCATCGTGTTTACAATTTGTCGTGGATTTGTGTTCTGTGCCAAAGAGGTCTCTCCATGCTTGGGGAGGGGGTATCCAGAATTGCTTCAAAATCCTCATCACAAGTCCACTTGTCAATGGAAAGCCGTTTGAGCAGTTAGAGGGCAAGGAACGCACTCTTCCATGGACCATAAGATGGATCTCAAGGATACGGAACAAACGCTCAAAGAGTCTCAAGCCAGCCGCTCACCGACCAACAAGTACCATACTTAATCTTGATCATCTCGGTGAGATGAGAAGATTCCAAATATGATTTGGGGACTTCGGTGTAGTCGGTGTGTGTACCAGGTTAGTCACACAGGTTAGACTGTGGCACCGTCTAGTTCAAGTCGCTTGGTGTATGGCTGGTTTGTGATCCCTAACTCAGATGCCTCTTTTCAACACTGTTTACATGTTGAGCGAGGACTTGATGCAACCCCGCCGCCCTCTCCGTTAAGCCACATACTGAAATTCATGTGAATGTCTTTTGCTTTGTGTCACCATTTTTGAAAAATTACATAAAATCTTTTTTACAAAATGCTCTCCACTCTCCTTTTGCTCCTTTCCAAAATGGTGAAATTTGGACAAGCCACTCTTCTACTTTTCTCTGAGTGTCATTGGCACAGACACATACATATCTGTAATCCAGGATTCTTGGGACAAATGTTTTTAAAAATATATAACTGTGTGTGTGTGTGTGTGTGTGTGTGTGTGTGTGTGTGTGTGTGTGTGTGTGTGTGTGTGTGTGTATGAGAGAGAGGGGGGGGGATTCTCAAATATGCGAATCCGCGGGTGCCGAACCGCGAGTGTGCAGGAATTGACCGGAGAAACCGTCGTTTGTCCTGTGTTACTCCTTCTGACCACTAGTCAGCAGTAAATGCATCTTGGCGTCAGCTTGCCAACCTCTGAGGAAGAAAATGATCATTTCACTGCGCATGCGCAAAAAAATGTCACGTTAATACAGGCAAGATGTTAGCGCTGAAGTTCTCGTAAATTCTCTCTTATTAATAATAGTCCCCCGTGACTGTTCGGCACCGCGGAAAGAGCACGCCACGGCCAAACGAAAGCGAAGCCATGACAGCGAACGAGGATCAAGAGGTAGGCCGGCAATGGACGGTTACGCGACCAAATGCTAACTGGCTAACGCGAGCGAGTTCGAACTGCCTTGCGAGTCAAATTTGTTCACGTCAGCTCAGCTGTTGTGCCTGTGTTTTAGATGGAGTTGGAGGCTCTTCGCTCTATCTACGAGGGTGACGAGTGTTTTAAAGAGCTTAGTCCAGTTTCTTTTCAATTAAGGGTGAGTCCTGCTTATTTTTTGGGGTTGGTGTAGAATTCAAAGAGCAGAATCACTTTTTTTTCTTTTTAGTGTTGTTGAAACATTCCGGCTGAATGCTTTTGACAAGAAAAAAATGTTTTCACACACATTGCGAATGGGGTGGACTGTGCGATTTTTCTTTGTCAGTGCTTTCACCATGAAATGTTTTACAAACCCAAATACGTATGACGATAAATATCAGATTGGTTATACATCAATATCTTGCTCGGTTAGGTGAAATATTTCAACAGGAAAAGTGTGGGTGTTTCGACAGCCCTTCTGAAACATTGCAATGACCGCAATTCCTTGTCAGCTTTGCAACGAGGGCCTGTCGGCTGTCTGATTTAAAAGGCCAATAGGTAGGGAAAGAGTTGGATGGCTACGTGATTCAGACTTTTGTTGGAGACAAAGTCATGTCTGAGAAGATGCGGGTTAAATAAAGTTAGACCCCATTAGCTCTTACACTCAGGAATTATAGTTCACAGTCATCGAAAAACACAACAATGAGGACATCACTCAATTAAAGTGGGTGGCCTTCGATAACAACTTTAAACCGAACGAATGTGACGGGATTTAAAAGGGAAATGGACCAACTATTGGAATCGGTCCGAATGATAACCATTACATTGACAGATAGGAGACCTGGAGGACTCCAAAGCATTCATCTTGGACATCACGTGGCCAGAGGCATACCCCGTGACTGGTCCTCAAATCTCACTGGATGGCTTTTTTAACAACCGAATGTAAGTCGCCTGTCGGAATTATCCGTAGGGGCGGGGGCCAAAAATGTAAAAAAAAAAACAAAAAACGTTTTATCACCAACTTCAGCATTCCCGAAATCAAGCAGCTTATCCTGTCCAAGCTGGCGGAGCAAGTGGAGGCCAATCTGGGCGATGCCATGACGTACACCCTGTTCGAGTGGGCCAAGGAGAACCAAGAAGCCCTGATGGAGAACCACAGACCCGTGGTCACCGCCGTGGTTCGTTTCAAGCTCATCATAGAGAGTCGGGAGCGTAAGCCCGGGCACTGACCGCTTCCTTCGCTTCGCCGTCAGACTTTAACATCCAGCGGTGAGGCAATACCGAACGCTGTGACAGCCAAAAAGAAGGAAAGGAAGGAGCAGCTCACAAAAGCGCAGAAGAGGAGGATCATCAGTCGGACAGGTTGGGGCGGAGGATTCGGATCATGAGCAGCCAACAAAATCATTGCCATTTCTATAATGTGGGCTGCTTGATCCTGCTTTCAGATAACAAAGGGGAACTGCCGAGAGGTTGGAATTGGATTGACGTCATCAAAGTACGTACGCCTCCAACGTTCCTCTACATGACTTGAATCATGGAATGCAATTTAACCTTGGATTTTATTTTATTTTTTTCCCCTCCCCCATCGTTACAACAAACTTCCAGCATGTAAGTGGCCAACACACCCCACCGGAATCCGTTCTCCAACAGTTTCTTTCATTGTTATTGTGGTTTTGGTTCTACTTGTGTTGCAGCTGAGTAAAACGGGAGGCGGTAAAGATGACGATTAGGCCCCCGAGTTGCCGCCTCGCTGCCGTTTACAATTTGAACGGGAACGTCTTTGTGCCGCCGCCTACCTCCAGGTCACTCGAATGCATGGCCACCGAGCGGAGGCAGAACTTATCGGCGCAATGTCATTCGTGTTTCATCAAGGTTACTTGAAAGCCTTCCGTTATGAAAGTACCAACTCTCACTGCCAGAACCTTGAAGCAATTCGCCTTGCAAATGGATATTTTGTATTCTCGTGAGACTCGCCGGCAAATAATTCCATCACGTTTGACTTGACTATTTTCTCATTTCAGGTTGACCAGATTTTATTTTGTCTATTCAAATAAAACCCCATTTGGAAGCACCTGCTGCCGAGGGGACTTGATATTGAATTTTTGTTGTTTTTGGTCTAGATGTGATTTTAATGAAAGGCTTTGCTTACCACCCGGTGTTCAAGAACAGCGGGGGCATTTGGCGTCAATGAAACCATCACCGGGCAAAGTGTAGTCTGGGTTATGACAACGTTATGAATGAAATCGAGGAATAAGCATCGCTAAGAAAATAACATTCACCTGAAAATTCAATTTTTATTGGAATACGACGACATGTAAATCTGATACTTTACACAAGTAGAGTCAGTGGACTGTCAGTTGTCGTCACCATTAAAATCCTCCACTAAAACTGAGGGGATCTTTTCTTGAGGTCTGCTACTGCTTTGCGAGTTTATCTGCCGAGCTCGGTAAAGCTTTTTCAGGGACGTAATCGTTGACCACGTCCAAGAGCCCCCTTTTCAGGGATTTTTCTAACCTTTTGGAAAACTCCTTCTTAAACATGTTCTCAAAGAAGCTGTGGATGTCATGGGCATCCTCCATTGACTGGATGGATTTGGCCCTCGTGCACTCGTCCTCCTCCTCATCGCTGGGCGGCAACTCGACTGAGATGATAGACGAGGCGGAAGCCTCCCTCGCACCTTCGTCCAGGACGTTTGCATGTAGAGGTCTCGCGCCTTTTCTCTCGCCTTTCCCTTTTACTCTCTTGCTCTTCCTCCGGCCATAGTGAGTCTTCCACATTGACTTGACTTTTTTGAAAATAGGCCTAATAGCCGGTTTTGCTCCAATGCAATCCATGATGGCACTGGGACAGTCCTCCAGAAGTGGCTGGATCCTCCTCGGACGCATTATTTTCCACCTCTTCCAAAGGGATGACCTGGTTTGACGTTGCGCTGGTGATGTCTTTTCCAGGTCGGCCGTCTCTTCGGATGAAAGTTCCTGCTCTGAAAATTTGATGTCAATGCCGAGTACCGCTTCAGATGAAGACTTGCTGGATAGCCTGTCTTTGGACAATTTCAGCTCAAGTTCTCCCACCAGTTTTGATGAGGACCTCCTTGACAGTTTCGAGACGGCATCGACTGCCGCCAGAGATGAGGACCTCCTGGATATCCTGTCTTCTGACAATTTTGAGACGGCATCGACTGTTGTCCGAGATGAGGACCTCCTGGACTTCCTGTCTTCTGACAATTTAGAAATGGCATCAACTGCTGCTTTTGATGAAGACCTCCTTGATATCCTGTCCTCTGATAATTTCCGACCTTCTACTGCCGCTTGGGATGAAGACCTGCTTGATACCCTACTCTCCGACAGTTTCCGAACATCTACTGCCGATTTGGATGAAGACCTCCTTGACACCTTGTCTTCTGACAATTTAGTTACAACCCCAACTTCTGCCGGGGATAAAGACTTCCCAGATAGCCTGTCTTCTGACCATTTAGAAACAGCCCTTAATTCTACCGGCGATAAAGACTTCCCAGATAGCCTGTCTTCTGACCATTTAGGGACAGCCCTTACTTCTGCCGGAGATAAAGACTTCCCAGATAGCCTGTCTTCTGACCGGTCAGGTTTAACCTCTACAGACAAAAGGTCCAAAATGGCTTCGGCTGATGGCGTCTTGGCTAGCATGTCGTCCGACAAGCTTGTGTCAATCTCAGCTGCCGCTTCATTAAAAGACATCACCGACCCCCTGCCTTCTGGCGATTTAGCATCAACATCTTGTAGTGTTCCGACTGACGGGCTCTTTACATCAAACAAAGGAAGCGTAGCATCAACTGCTACTTCCAAAAGACGCTTCCTTGCTTCCTCTTCCTCAGACAATTGAGGATCAGCGTCAGCTTCTGATGAAGGCCTCTTGACATCAAACGATTGAAGAGCAGCATCTACTACATTTTCCACCAGAGGCTTCCTTACTTCCTGGTCCTCGGACAGTTGAGTTTCAGCGTCAACTGCTGATTCTGATGAAGGCAGCTTCGCTTCCCTGTCTTCGGGCGACTTGAGATCATCCTCTCCGGCTGTTTCAGATGATCTCTTCGTGATCTTGTCTTCTAGCCACTCAAGGTCAGCATTTACAACCAATTCTAACGAATGCCTCTTCGCTAGCTTATCCTCTGGCCCCTGAAAATCACTATCTGCTTCTGATGAAGACATTCTCGCTACTTTGACATCTTGGCCGTCTAGATCGGCATTTGTTCCTAGTTCAAATGAAGATGTTTTTGCGAGGCTATCTTCTGGCCACTGAAGATAACTATCTTCTAGTTCTAATGAAAGCTTCTTTGCCATTGGGTCATCTTCCCCCTTGGGATCAGCATCTACTAATTCAACTGAAGTCCTCTTTGCTAACAGGGCACCTTGCCACTCAGGATCAGTGTCTACCATCTCTAATGAAATTATATTTTCGACCGTGTCTTCAGGCCACTCAATATCAGCATCTTCAGCTTCTTTGGATGGTCTCGTTGCTACCGGGTCTTCTGGTGACTTAAGATCTGCACAGAGTGCTTCTGATGAAGACCCTTTTCTTACCATGTCTTCTGGCCACTGACGGTCACCATCTACCACTTCCACTGGTGAATGCCCACACGCTACCTGGTCTCCTGCCAAGTTCAGATCATCTTCTACTGCTTCTGACGAAGGCCTCTCGATAACAACGTCCTCTGGCCACTTAAGATCGGCATCCGATGTTTCTGACGAAGACCTCTTTTGTACGTAGTCTTCTGGCGTCATCGGCTCAATCTCTACTTTTTGGGGTGAATACGTCATTGCTAGCATGTCTTCTGGCAACCCATGATCATCATCTACTTCTGATGAAACCCTCTTGGCTATAATGTCTTCTGGCGACTCAAGATCAGCATCGACTGCTTCTGGTGAATATCTCTTTTCTACTCCGTCTTCTGGCAACGCAAGTTCAGCATTTACGGATTCAGGTGAAGACCTCTTTGCGACGCTGTCTTCCGGCAATTCAGGATCAGCAATTCCTGCCACAGGTGAAGACCTCTTTGCTATCCCATCTTCTGTCAACTCAAGATCAGTCGGGGCTTCTTCATCCGATAAGCGCATCTTTTCCTCCAGTGCGTCTGGTGATTTGTTGCCATCAGAAGCGGGGGCTGCGGGGGTTCTACGCTCCGGTGAATCTTGACGACCCACTGATAAAATTTCAACCATGTCGTGATCGAGGTTACTTGCTGTACTTGTGCTCCCAAGCGATTCCGTTGAAATTCTTAAAGGATCGTCAAAGAGAGTCAGTTCACTGGTGTCGTCCAAGTTGCCCGGAGCACATGTGGCCTGATTGTCAGTTTCCGGATCCCTCAGTGGGGAGACCGCTGCTTCTTCCAACAGGTCAGCAGCGTGACACGTCTCCTCTGTTGCCACTTGACCCAAGATGTCTGGGTCTAGCGGCCTCTCATCTTTGCGGTCACTCGTCCCCGGCGAAGCAGCCGATGAGAAAAAAGCGGCCAGATTTGGCGTCCAGTTTTCCTCTGATGCGGGCGAGAGGCTGGCTGTTGATTCTCTCTCTGAGACACAGCATCCCTCCTCCGTCTCCCTCTCCGAATGGTGAGGCCCCATTGTTTTCTGTAAGGTCGACTTCATTTTCTCAACAATTGTTTTGCTGGCCGTGTCGATGGTGTTAACAACGGGATTGACAACTTGGCTAATCAAATCTTTGGCCTTGTCGATGAAGCAAGTGGGTGAGGCGCCGGTCGACGAATTGGGAGAAAGTGGGCTCTCTAATGTCTGAGAAAAGTCATCCAGATGAGTCTGTTGCTCATCGGAGGAGGCACTTATTTCCTCCTCAAAGATGCCGGTATCATCCTCTTCCTCGACATCCAAAATGTCGGGGTCTCGGGCCTTCTTCATGGCGCTCGTTCTCGCAAATATCTTGAGGGCCGACGCGGCACCGGCCTCCCTGCCCTCTTCCCGCTCCGCGATCATGAGCCGCTCGGAGAAGAAATCCTTGAGGTGTTGCTTGATCTTCTGCTGGGTGACCACGCCGTAGGAGGACTCGTCGATGAAGGAGTCAGACATGGCGCGCTCCTCCTTGTCCCAGAGCGTGATCAGCTCCCTCAAGTTGGCCACATCCAGGGTGCTTTTCTCAACGATGCTCTTGATGATATTGTTGATCTTGGCATCTTTGTCTTTGTCCTTCAAAGTGTAAGTCATATTCTGGAGTAGAAAAGCAAACATCGGATTAGCATGCCTCACGAGTCGAACTGACTTTGTGCACAGTTCGCAATTGTTTGAGGGCTCCGCCTGCAATACGTGGAATCGGTCAGTTGACATTTGTAACTATTGAAAACAACTCACTCACTGAAACACCTCCTACTATTCCTTCGAACAAAAGAAATGGGAGACCATCATACACCGCGCTCCAAATTTTTATTCTGCAACTGATGGTTTTCTCTGATTTTTATCATTAGTGTATGTAAACGGCACACGGGACAATGTTTTGAAGAGAAAAAACAATGCTATGATGTGTTAGGATATGCGATTTGGAAAATGGATGGACGGAATTTACTCCCAACCAGTTGATCATCACGCCGAGAGCTGTTTGCACTGTCCAAATCTGACAAAAACATTTGCATTCTAATTTGGAAGGCCGCCTCTATGTCACTTGGAGGAATCAAAACCATTTTAGACGCAACGACTTTTCAAGCTGTTCGCCGTCCCCAATTATAGTTCATTGTGAAGCTGACAAGGAGAATTTACCATTTGCATTTTTAAACGCCCAAATGTTCCGCGAAACCATATTTCGTCAAACGGAGCACATCGCTACGCTGACGGCGGGCAACAAAATTCAGACTTGCATACCGCAAAAGCCTCTTACAAATGATCGCTTCAGCTCGGACCATGAATGGCGATTATAGTGCGGGGACATCGTCTGCGGTGTGAGCCGCATTCATTACCTGGCCAGTCCGACGACCTTTCACATCGTCGCCAAACATCCCCCGTTGAGCAAAAAACTCCTTGATGCCATGTTGGATCTTCTCAAGGGGGAGGAGGTCGTTTCCTGGCCCGAGGGTGGGACTCTCAGCGCTCATCTCTGGGCCGTGTACGCACTCCTCGCTTTATCTGCTTCGGGCGATGTTTTCGGAGCTCGGGGCTCCGAGTTTGGGGCAGGATTTCTCCACGATCACAAACGCTCTTTTACCACTCCGAACTAGGCCAACAAAGGGCACTGAGATGCGACATCATCGGTCTTTGTCATGAAGCATCGACATAACGCTTTGTAGTCAAGGCGTGTCGCCGTCATCAAGGCAAATTACCCTGAGCATAAAGAGCTCCCCCCAACAGTCAACCCGGTCCCAAACCTTTAGCAGACTGAAAACCAGGTTCTCCTCAATGCCCCTCAGCAACAAAATGGGCCTACTTGGATCCATTTTGTGCATTGTCAGTGCTGCTTATACGCAATTGGGGGTTGGGGGGCAGACGAGCCGGAGTCCATACCGGCCGAGTTTGGACCCGAGGCATAGTTATCCCTGGCATCGATTGACCAGAGGAGCGCCGCGAGGGCCGGACGATTGTGGACGTAGTAAAGCTCATGATTATTTTTGATTAAGATTGAAATCATGATTAATTCGTTGACTTCAAAACTTCGTTTTGAGTCGTTGAATCAATACTATCATCTGCCTCATGCACCTTCGCATTGAACACTTTTAGTTCAGTTTCACTCTGCCACAGCTTTGTTGCCTTGCACATATTCAAACCATGAATAAGCATCTCCCTCATCTCTTTATCAAATGTGATCATGTGTTTATTTGGACAAATCTAGAGACCTCTAAGGCTAACTTGGGACCCGGAGTATCACATTTCATGCAACATCATGTGATAATTTGCTGGTCTTTGTCTTTCAATATAACTTGAAAGGACAACTAAAAATGACTATGCTAGAATAATAGCAATTAAAACAAAAAAATAAAACAGGCCATCTGTTCCTGCCATGCGCACGCGTTTGCCTCTGAGGGGCAGCGTAGTGCTGCGCAGGGATGGAGTACACGCCATGAGCTGAAGTCGGATAGAAGAACTCCCATCATCTTGTGCCCGCCCTTTTGAGTATGCCGCCACCTCAAAATCTCCCATGTCGATGCAAGTTTCCCATGAGCCTGTCGATGGGACTTCATCAGCAACGTTTGGAAAGATAGAAGCCAAAATCATGATTATAAAAATGTTCAAATGTCAATTTAGTTGCTCGGCACTTGTCACCATTGAAAAAGGCGACTGCAGCTGTTGGTTCAGGTTCCTCCGAATCACCAGCACATGTGCTGAACACACACACAACGTGGCATTAATACACAAGGCAGTAGCAGTAGACTGTAAAGAAGGACCACGTCCGCAATGAAAGGATGCTCTGCTACGAAACGGGGATGCTTGAGTTGGATTTATTTTTTTTCATACGTCAAAAATAGCCACTTCTTACTCAAACAAATAGCTTGATGAAGGCGTCACCGCACAGTGTCCTCGGTGAGTCTTAAGTGGCTCTGTTCGATTGTGCTCCTCACGTCCTACGCTGCCGGACTTGAATCGGCGGGTGGGTCACTACCTTGACCGGCGGTCTTTCCTGTTCTTGTCCAGGCTTTTGTCCATTGTCTTTTCACTGTCCCCTCTGCATTTGGGGCAGTACCACTTGCCCTTCGGCTTGTAGGTCAGGCCAACGCAGGAGAAATGGAACCACTCGATGGGGCACTGGTCGTTGTCGCAGCCGATCATCTCGCCGTAAGACACCTGCTCGCACAAGCAGTAGGTGGGCTCGTTTGGGTCGATGGCAAAATCCACCGGCGAGGCGTCCCGCTCCTGCTTGGACTTGCGCTTCTTCTTCTTGGCCGACTTGGACTTCTTCTCTCTGGGAAGCGGGAGGGGTGGATCCTCGGCAGCGTCGTCCGCCACAGAACCGTTGGCCGACGGGTGGTTCGAGTCTCGGCTCTCGCTGTTGCGCTGGCGCCGCGGACGGCGGGCCAAGGCGCGTTCGGGGGCGGCGGCGGCGGCAGCAACGGGTGCGACAGCGGTCTCCTGGATGTTAGCGCGCCGCTCCGTCGCCACGTGTTCAGGATCGCAGGGCTCCTGGAGGCACAGGGAATGGGAGTCCATCTGGCGGGAGCGGTTCTCCACCAGCTCGGTCATCTGGGTCACCACGTGGATCTTCTCGTCGCCCAGCTCCTGGCTGACGATGAGTGCCCGTTGCAGCTGTACTTGCAGCCGCTTTCTCTGAGCGCCATCCTGCTCTGCCTTGTACCTCTCAAATACTTCATCCACCTCCTTCAGCACTTCTGCAAATACAAGACAAATCACGTTACATCGCACGTGTAAACGTGGTCAAGGGAATTGCAGCCAAACAGTGCGTCGCCTGTTAGGTTTTTTTTTTTGTTTTTTTTCATGTAAACAACCCGCTTCGCTCTTCCCCCACCGAAAGTGACTAATGTGGTCACGTGACGGGGGCGGGGCATGGAGCAGCAGTTCTCTGGCTGCTGAAAACGCACTCACTCGCCTCATTTTACGGAGCACCGCTACCGAGCTGTCAACGTACCGATTTAACCATCACGTTTTGTTCGCTTCTGCAGTAAATTGACGCCGAACGTCGTCAATTAACCACACGGACTACCGCGGGTAGCGAAAAACGTAGGAATGCACGCGTTTGGTTGTTGGCATGAACACGGAAACAAATGTTCACCTTTTCCAAGGGAGTTTGGTGCGAGGGAGCGAGGCTGCGTTGACGTAAATGGGGAAACGAGGCAGCCGCCTGCCTGCAGCCCGCCAACGCCGCACAAACTATCGTCAGCACGCATCGGCATCTCGTTACCTTGATACTTTGCGTCGATTTCCCGTAGCACGGAAACATTTCTTTGTATGTCCAAGGGCAGGGACTCCACGCATTCCAGATAATCTTCCACGTAGTTGGCCAGTTGCTGCGACTTGTCAACATTCGGGTAGTGGTGGCCTAACATGGTCGCGACGATGCATTGAGGCGAGGTGCAAATTGTGCGATTCGATACAAATGCCGGACGACTTGGCGAGCTCGTAAGGGCAGTTCCAGGCAGCAGTTCACTTCAAACAAAACTGCCACCAGGGCGCATGCGTGAGTATTTTCCTTTTATGGCGTTGGACGGTTTCTCGCACTCCAATGTCGTCATCAGAGGCGGTGCCGGTGGGCTCCGCAGCGTCGCCATTGGTCGAGAGGAGCCCTCATTAACATAGTGTTTTCCTGGGAAGTCGAGCCAATAAGATTTAAGTCATATTATTTTTTTATTGGCCAGACAAAAAAAGACGACACATTTTGAACACATTTTAAAACGGATCATCACTTTGTAATTTCTCGAGGTGCAAATTGTGCGATTCGATACAAATGCCGGACGACTTGGCGAGCTCGTAAGGGCAGTTCCAGGCAGCAGTTCACTTCAAACAAAACTGCCACCAGGGCGCATGCGTGAGTATTTTCCTTTTATGGCGTTGGACGGTTTCTCGCACTCCAATGTCGTCATCAGAGGCGGTGCCGGTGGGCTCCGCAGCGTCGCCATTGGTCGAGAGGAGCCCTCATTAACATAGTGTTTTCCTGGGAAGTCGAGCCAATAAGATTTAAGTCATATTATTTTTTTATTGGCCAGACAAAAAAAGACGACACATTTTGAACACATTTTAAAACGGATCATCACTTTGTAATTTCTTGAAGCACGCGCGAAGTTTAAGTTTAGTTTAAGTCTGAGGTCTCCGCAAGAGGTCGCTGTGATGTCAGTTTTCCAGTTTTTAAAGTACAGTATGCCTGAACTGTTGACATGCATAAGATAAGATAAGAAATCTTTCATTAGTCTCGCAATGGAGAAATTCCCAATTCACAGCAGCAAAGTTATGAAAGGAAGAAGTAGAAGAACAAAATATAGGAGCTGCTGGAAAGGCAGCCACTCTTGAAGTCGGCGCCGTCTTGAAGTCAAAAAACAAAATAACACAACAACACATGCGACACAGACAGTCGTGCAATCATAATCATTTTTCCTGCATACACTTTGTTCTTTGAAGCAGTTATAGATGAAAGAGGTATACAGTATACAGGTGTACGTTTTTTTTTTTGAGAAGAAAGTCATATATGAATAACAACGTATATTTTCTACATTTAAAAATACCGGTATTCGTTTAGACGACTCATATTTGAAAGGAAAAAAATCGTACGTTTTCGAGATGAGAATTTGTATTTTAGTATTTTTCGATAATAGTCGCAATTTGCATTAACGTGTTGTACATTTTTTAGAAAACTATTTTGAAATGTATATCGAAACCAACTAAGTCGTACATTTTGAGTGAAAGTTGTATATTAGAGCTCGTCCGTCACCTCGAAAACAATTGGATTTTATGTCAAATAGATAACTTAAGTGTGATTATGTCACGTCTATGATCTCGTTGTTTTATTTATTTACTTTTTTGACCGTCTTTATAGAATCGCTTTGATATATTAGCAGCTGACTCAATGTGCAATTATTGTTCTCGTTTGTTGTTTGTGTCGTCGATGCAGTTTCCTTTTCAATGAGTCGCAATCATGACCTCTTCCCTCACTGAATGCTGCAAGTTTCGTTTCCCGAACATTTACCGTACCGTACAACCTATTCGCACTGACCTTTTCTGGGAGCAGTTTTCAAAATAAGATTTAAGTGGAAGAAGTTTAACGTTTAACATGTTCGACTTGATCTGGAATAATTCAAGACGAATAAAACCATTAGTTTCTAAACAGGAGACGTCTCAAATTAGTCATGGGTTCGAATATCAAGCAATAACCATTTCAAATGTATATTTTATTTTGACTTTGTTCATGCGCTTCCGGTTATTGCGCATGTTCTTTGAAATTGTGCTTTATTAGTCGTAGCACCAAGTTGACATTCCGTCTGTCGTCGTTTTGGGAAATCGTCAAGCCGCACCTGTCGCGATGAAAAGTGCATTTATAATCCTTTTTTGCTGTGTTTTTTCAGGTAATTCTCTTAATGAACACTTTTGAAAGACTCGTTGTTGCTCTGAAAAATATATTTGTTCGTGGTGTGCGCCGATTTCGTTATCCTTTTACGTGCAATTCATGACGTACGTACTAAAAAGTGCTTGAACGGCTTTTCAAACACGAAGTATAGACTCCAAAAGTTTGTATATATGTTATTTAAAAAAAACAACAAAAACCTGTTTGGGTTTGCCACTAATACGCGGTGGACTTTTGAACTTAGGCGAACGCGACGTTATCAGGCCAGTTCGACCCAAAAGTCACTTGGCTCGCGCTCTGACATTTTTTTTTTTTAAATCGTCCCTTTTATTAATTTTTTAAATTTACATTTGTATATATAGTCAAGGTTGTGGGTCTTCGGTTTGTTTGTTATTGATACGTTTGTTATCAGAAATATGATGTAATTATAACGTTTTAAGGCTACGAACGACTGTGAACAGCCAGTCAAGAGTGCTAAAACTATAATTATGACTAAACTCAGTTTAAACCCGAGTATAACCCACGCCCCGCTTCCTTCTTCTCCTGTATTTTCTTTTGAAGCACTGTCACTAAAGCATGATGGAAAACCCCCAGTGACAGTCAGTCCTGCTGAAGAATTCTTTCCGAAAAGTGAACCAGACCCAACTGTCAAACCGACCACGGCGCCCGCCAAACCGACCACGGCGCCCGCCAAACCGACCCCGCCGCCCGCCAATGCCACGACCGATCCTGTCCCCACACCAACCAACGCTTCCATCGCCCCTGCACCCATCACCAGTACCACCGTGGCGCCTCCCACCATGACTCCAGTCAAACCCACTCCACCTGCCGATTTGAGTGCGGGAGACTACCGGCTCATGAAGGGCAAAGCCGTTTGCTTGATGGCCCATGTGGCCTTGCAGGTCCGACTCGTGACACCAGAGGTACTTTGTTTTTTTGTTTTTTTATCTCAATCTTGTATAAAGAATCTGACATTTTGTGTTTTTAAGGTGTAACGAATTAATGGCAAATCTGTTAATTTAATTGGGGAAAGCAGATTTGAGATACAGCAACAAAGTATATATATGTATTCCATTCCCAGGCAGCTTTAGTGTAACTACCCTATGTCCCTTTTCCAGGCCAGCGGAACATTCATCGTGCAGCCCAACAAGACTCGAGCCACTGGGGAGTGTCAGGAGAACAAGGCCAATCTCACGCTGGTCTTCCAGGAGGGTTTCATCACCTTCATGTTCAACAAGGTTCACTTCTCTCAAAGATGGCAGAAATAGTCCCACTCTGTACTTAGTAGTGGAGTAGAAGTTAAAAAAAAAAAAAAAAAAGACAAGTAGAAAGTTAATCAAATCAACCTCGCAATGCAATTATATTCATTTTGCATTTATATTTGAATACAGATAGAGTTACTGTACGTACAAGCGGCTAAATTGGGTTCACTGCTGTCTTTACTTTTTTGCTGCGTTTCTTCAGTGTGTTATTTGCATGTTGGTGTGAACAACTGTACTTACTATAACAGTTGTTCCTCTTATTTTGTATGTTTGAAATAAACACACAAAACAAAATACAAGGGAAGAGATTCTAGAAAAAAATCCCAGAAGAAATCGCAATATTGGGGGGATCGCAACTAGATTATTTTCCAACACTGTTCAGCACGAGTGAAAAGGACAAATTGGAAAACTATACATCTATCTATCTATATATCTATAAGACTAATTCAACTTCTTATTCTTCAAAAAAAAAAAAATCATAATCAAATTTGTTTTTCTTGACTTCCCAGCGCTGGCTTTGGCCACTTGAGATCATGTGATTTTTTTTTTTCTGCTTCCCCCCATCTGCAAGCTGCCACAAGAGAGAAAAATTATTTGAAAGAGGAAGTCGACTTGACGAGGCTGTTTCTGTGTCAGTCACAGCATGTGATACGGCGCACTCAGTGCCTCAACCGCACAACCACCGTGAATGACCCAAACTGATTTGCTGACATGGCAAATAAAAAAGTCCAATGTGTCTTTTAAAAAAAATGTGATTTATTTCCTCAGAGCACCACCGAAAACATCGCCTACGTTGACACATTGATGTTCAGCCTCGCCTACCCCTTGAGCAACGGTAAGGCCGCTTTTTGCACAATCCTCTTACAAGTTACTTTTTTTTTTTTTTTTTTTTAAATACTTGCAAGCAACACCAAGTGGCACTTGCTTTCTTATGTACTTCAGCATCTTGGTGATGAAGTGCTGCATCCGTAAGTGAAAATAAATTTTTTTCCCCCCTTGGCGTCTCAAGAGATTCTACAAGTCTCCAGTGGCACTACAAAAATGTCTCAAACTAGTTGCAAGTGGGGAGGGAAATGTGTCTGAGTTGGGAAGACGGAGTTGCCCTCCATTTGTATTGTAATCCAATGTCTTGGTGTTGAAGTGCTGCTACCACTCATGAAAATACCCCCCCCCCCCTCCTCCCAGTTGCCCGTGTGTCATTGTGAAATTCATTGTCTTGGTGATGAAGTGCTTGAGTTGAGAAGTCAACAGCACCACAAAAGTGGCGTGATTTGGTGCGAGTCACTTTCAAAAAAAAGGAAGTGCTGCCTCCACAATGGAAAATACAACCGTTTTTTTCCCCTTAAAAGTCTGCATTAACACCACAAAAAGTGGATCAAATTAGTCTTGAGCGGCGTGCACTGTGAAGTACCCACTTTGGTGCAACACCCTCGCCCCACCCACTGTCGCCACGGTAACGATAACCTGACAACCACGCATGGTTGTCAGGTTAACTGTAATTTTCTACGCCTTGTGTGTATTTTGATGGAAGCATGTCGGACAGCTTTGACGAAGAGACTTTGGAACGTTTTTAAAACTGAAAAAAGAAAGTGCACAATTTAATGTATCTATTTATTTCCAGTCAGCGGACACTACGCCGCCACCAACCACTCGCTGCGTGCCTTCCCTGCAAAGATCGGCCACTCGTATTCGTGCCGGAGCGAATCCGTCTACATGGGGAATGGCCTGTATATGGATGTCAAGGATGACCGGATGCAGGGCTTCAATCTGACCAAGAGCAATGAATTTGGTGTCAGTAAGTACCCTGGAACCCCCCCGCAAAGGCCAGTTTGTTTTCGGGTCGTTGACGTACATGTAACATGCGGCACTGGTTTCAGCTGACCACTGTGTGGCCGACCAGCCCGATTACAGCGTGGCCATCGGTGTGGGCGTCACTTTGCTGGTGCTGGTCTTGGTGGTGTTGGCGGTCTACTTACTGGGCCGCAAGAGGAGGACGGATGGCTACCAGTCACTGTGAGGACCTCCCCCAAGGGAAGGCCGGTTCTTGGCCAACCCAACGCTGCCGCCCACCCCCGTGTAAAATCCTCGTCCGGTCCCCTCCACGCTTCCAATTACTCAAGGTTCTACATCCAGGGTATATCTTACAATTGCAACTGCTAGCAGGTCAGCATTAAATTCCCCGAACCTGAATAGAGCAAGAGACCACCCACAGTCACAAAAATGCCAAGATTGAGGTGATCCAGATTGTAGAAATCGGGCAACCCTTACTGATTGGCCTCGGCACTTTCCAAAATTCAGTTTTGGTGTCTTAGCAAAAATGTTAGCATATCAATTGTTCCCAGGTTAGAATTTGATCAGTTCTCATCAGAGCTAGCCCTAGAATACAGGGAGAGATGGCAAACGGTACCAATATGTCTCATTGAATCCTGCTTTTTTTTTTTTTTTTTTTTTGCCTCCAAGTCAGGTTGCCGGTAAGCTTCACTGGAGCCGCTGTGTATGTTTTACAGAATTGTGCTGTTTTGTTGTTGTTGTGTTTTTTTTTTTTTAAGAATCACACCACACCTGTCTTTCCTGGAGTGCTTTTGAAGCCAAAAGCCAGTTGCTACCCGCGGCGTCATAGTTGGGTCGTTTTATCACTTATTTCATATTGACTTGTTTTTTCAATTCACTTAGTTTTAATTTGTTATTTCAAGCGGGTTAATTATTGGAATTGTTTCGAAAAATGCTTCATTTTAGTTTGGTTTTAATTATGGTTTGTTTGTTGGTTTTTTTTTTTTTTTTTAACAGAGTATTTGTTGGGTGCAGTATTTTAAAAAAGTGTCACAAAAGTGAATTGCATAATCAAATAAATTACAATTCTTAAACAACTATTTGACGGTCAATCTTCTTTACGGACGTACAGAACCACCAAAATCAATACCAACCCAATTCCAATGAACTTGAGATGTTGTGTCAAATATAAATAAAAATGGAATACAAATGACTTGGAAATCATGTTTAACCCGTATTTAATTCAGTACATTATAGAGACAAGATATTTCATGTTCAAACTGATCAAGGTGTTTGCCAGGAATTTTATGCCTGACATGTTCCAAGAAGGCTGGGACAGGTGGCAAAAGAACTTGTCATCAAACACCCGTTTGGGACACCTCACAGGTGAATACTGCGGACAGATGGGAGCCAGGAGTGGCTTGAAAAAGGAGCTTCCCCGAATTGCTCAGTCACTCACAAGCAAAAATGGGGCGAGGTTCACCTCTTTGGGAACAACTGCCTGAGAAAACAATCCAGCAGTTTCAGGTCAATGTTCCTCAATTGCAAGAAATTGAGGGATTCCGTCCTCTACGGTCCAGAATATTGCCAAAAGGTTCCGAGAATCTGGAGAAAGCACGGCATGGAAGCGGCGAGGCCAAAAAATCGATATCCCTCAGGCGATGGTGGATTTTTTTTTAACAAACGGTTCATCATGTCAGTAAACATGTACGCAAATCTCTGTTTGTTCCGACAGTTTCCGCTGCCTTTGAAGGGGATCCCCGTGACGTCATGTGACGTAAAAGCGCAATGACGCGTCGGAGTGACTTTCGGGGATGATTGAAGTGCGCGGCAAAAGAAGTGAAACCCAAAACAAAACGACACGAAACATGTGGCCGAGGTACTGCTGAGCAAACGGGGTACGTCAGCCGTCCCTCGCCGCCCGCTCTTCGCTCGCCTTTTACCGAGGTGTGTCAAACCGCCCGACTTTTTAACCACATTGAAGCGCCTTATTTCAAATAGTCCGTTTGAGCTAAGTAGCCGCTCGTTAGCATGCTAGCCGCAGCTGGTCGCCGGTCAACGCGAGCCGGCGTTTGGCCGTCTCTGGCTCACGGTTGATTTCGCGTACTCCTGCGATACGTTACAATACGACGTTACGATGATGGAATTGTTACTTTCCATTTGGAAGCGAGGTAGCGTGGCACCGGTGTCAATGGATCTTCAAATGCTAACGTTAGCCTAGCCTATTTTGTATGTGTGTGTATGTGTGTGTGAGGTTGAGCATTTTAGCTAGGAGTGCCCCGCCCACCCATGAGCAACGCATGTCCCCAGTCCGTTTTTATGGAAAAATAAATCCATTTCATATGCGTACATAAACTCGACAGCATGTAAACGTATACATGACTTTCGGAATGACATGCGATATTTTTGGGGATTAATTTCAACTCCCCGATGTTGCCGTTTCAACGGATACTTTTGTGCCGTGGATCCCCGCACATTCGCGGCTCGGCGCCCGCGTTTTCACATGTTCGCAGATTTTCTTTTAATTTATTCATACATTCTCCAAACCACATAATCAATGTAAAATTGTATTTATTTGTTTTGGGGAGCCGACCAGTCTTTATGTGGAAAACACATGCGCATATATATATATATATATATATATATATATATATATATAGTGTGTGTGTGTGTGTGTGTGTGTGTGTGGCCTTCCTCGTCGAGATGTTTTTGAGGGGTATTTGCCAAATATAAAATGTTCTACGTCATCAATAGTTGAGCTCAACGATTTTGAAAAATAATCTCAATTGTTTTGTGTCCCTCAATATTGCCATTCAATAGGCAGTTATTTTTTTTCCGTCTTCTTTCCCCGTTTTTTTCAGTCAAACGGAAGCAATAAATGAATCTGCATTGGATTTTGTATCAGTTGTGGGTGTCACATTCAATACTGCAGGCGAAGGATACCACAGAGGACAAAATGGGTCTGCACTCATCCCAGAAGAAGCATTTTCCCCTACGGGGGATCGATGGCGTCGTTCAGCTCTTCGACGCCGAGCTCCGCAAGTCCGAGCCGGACCTGGCCCTCCTCTCCCTGGTCCTGGGTTTCGTGGAGCACTTCCTGGCCGTGAACCGCGTGGTGCCCGTCAACGTGCCCGGCGTACGTTTCGAGCCGCTGGAGCCCGACTGCCCCAACTCGTGTTTCCCCACCGTGGAGCTGGGCATGATTTCAGCGCTGTACGAGCGTTTCACGGCGCAGATCCGCGGGGCCGTGGACCTGTCCCAGTACAGGAGGACGCCGGCCGGCTCCAGTCGAGAGCTGGTGAAGAAGGTGTCGGATGTCATTTGGAACAGTCTCAGTCGCTCTTACTTTAAAGACCGTGCCCACATCCAATCTCTCTTCAGCCTCATCACCGGTAAGTCGGACTTGGTGATGTGGATGTAAGATCAAATCTCTTGAGCCTACTGAGCATGAGCGGGCACAAAAAAAAACCCAACAAAAAAACAACACATTTTTTGTCAATTTAAGCAGATTCTTTTTTTTTTTTTTTCTCATCTTGACAAACTGCGATGTCTTTTCCCCAAGGAACCAAACTGGACAGCTCGGGTGTGGCCTTTGCGGTGGTGGCGGCCTGCCAGGTCCTGGCCCTGAAGGACGTGCACCTGGCTCTGTCCGAAGACCACGCCTGGGTCATCTTCGGCAAGAGCGGCGAGGAGACGGCCGAGGTCACCTGGCACGGCAAGGGCAACGAAGACCGACGAGGGCAGACGGTCGCGGCGGGAGTCAACGAGAAGGTGAAGCCCAAACCCACCTGCCTTAAGTGAAAAAGCACAAATAAAAGGGTTGCTTTGGCGCCACCTTGCTGGCAAACAACTACCTGAAGTGAGTTGAGGAGTGTCATCGAGACAAAATTAGCGCTTCAGTCAGCCATTTGAAACCTTTTTAGGCTGCGTCAATTCGGGCTGAATGATTCATTCTAATTGCATCCCACCCCGCCTCCACACCATCATGATTGCGATTGCTTTTGAACATGGGATTATTCCTCCCGCGCTATTTTTTTTTTTTTTTTTTTTTTTTAAACAAATGCGGGAAATCACATCTTGTTGAAAATGGCCTTGGACTACAATGCGATATGCCGATGCGAAATGGAATTGCGCATTCCTCGTTTCGCAGATTGGTTCGAGATACCATTTGAGTGTTTTGTGTTTGTGTCTGGTTCAGAGTTGGCTCTACCTCAAAGGTTCCTACATGAAATGTGACCGCAGCATGGAGGTGGCCTTCATGGTGTGCGCCATCAACCCCTCACTGGACCTGCACACTGACAGCTCGGAGCTGCTGCAGCTTCAGCAGGTGACAGCTCACAATCTTGAAACCGGCCCCTTCATGCGTCCCTTTCTCTCATCGGCCGCCGTTGGTTTCGCTGGGGATGGTCGCGTTTCTTGCTCTCTGGATTTAAAGGGGAAATATTCTGGAAAGGTGGCCGTTCGCTCTTTATCCTCAGCCTGTATTTTGACCTAAATATGCCAGAGACACCTGCGGATGGTTTGAAAATGTGGCTTGTTTTCATATACGGTGTGCGTGTGGGAGAGCCATATTTGCAAGAATGGTGACGAAAAAAAAACATGTTCTCTGCGCAGAAACTTCTGTGGCTACTGTATGAACGAGGTGACCTGGACAGGTGAGTGTGCTGAAGTTGGAGAGGTGAAAAGGAGTCAGCGGGGAGTGGGGATCCCCCAAAGTCTGCTTTGCCTTGCCGCAGGTATCCAATGGCGATGGGGACTCTGGCGGACCTGGAAGACCAGGATCCGATGCCAGGCAAGGAGAGCCCGCTGGAAATCCACCTCAAGGTAAAGGACGCCCTTTTTCCCCGAGTTTGCGGGACCCTGTGAACAGAATTCAAATGCGTACTGTTGATTGAGCTCTGTCGGCTCATCGCCGCGGCACCACGATGAGCCGATCTTGCCATCGGATGTGCCCCGGAGTTGTGTTCCGTTGTCCGTCTCCGGTCTATGTTGCTTGTGTTCGGTGTGTGGCTTCAAGCGTTGGAGCGCCGCCGCGTAGATGCTCCTTAGCCCGAGCATTAGGCAAGCGTCCTGAAAGTGTCGGTCGGGTCCATAGGAAACGGAAGTCCATTTGGGAGCGCGGCTGACTTTTTTAAACCTCATCTGTCTGTCCCCTCAGGCCGTGTGTTCGGCCCAGAACCATTACAACAACGAGCACATCTACCCCTACATGTACTTGGCCGGCTTCCACTACAGGCACAGGAACGTGCGGGACGCGCTGAGGGCCTGGGCCGACGCCGCCCGGGTCATGCAGGAGTAAGTAGCTTGACGTTGCCTTCACGTGACACCAGAGGGCGGCAAAGACTGAGTTGTTGTCGATTTCGAGGCTGAAGGTGCTCGGGGTCCACATCCAGTGCTCTTCTGTGCTTCAATGGGCACATGGCTCTTTTTTCGTTTTTCATCACAGGGCCAGCATTCTCCGCAAAACGCAGTTCCCTCCCTCGCTAAAAATAGACCAACGGGCGGATTCAACTTCCTGGTCATTGTTCTGTAGGTTCAGCTGCTTCCTCTTGAGCCTGTTGGGGCTTCTTTTCTTTCGCTGCGGCTTCATCAGCAAATAGGAACGTCGTCATCCCCAATTCATCATCTCAAATTCTCTACCCAGAAAGAAAGTGGCCAATTTTTGCTGATTTTTCATTTTGTTGTAAAGTTATTACGGTGAACAAAGCTTGTGAAATTGCAAAAATTGAAAAATAGTTTTCGTTAATGGGGGGGGGGGGTTGGAATGAAGTGGTTTTAAAAATAAAGATAACAAAGTACATTTTAAGTTGATAAGACTGACGAGAGTGAAAATGTTTATTTACATGTCCAACTCTGCACTTTCGAGGTTCATTTCTTTCGATACCACCGTGCATGGAAGAAAGAAAGTCAAAGCAGTCGCTTGCGAATTGGACTGAAATACTTGGTGACCTTTTTTTAATCTTCCATTCTTCAAATACGTCATAGACTGTGGATAGAAGCAGTCGAAAACTAATACCAAACTAAAATAAAACATTTGCAAAAAGCCAGCTCCTTATGACCCTGCTCTGTGGCAAAGCTAAACAAATATATGTATGTGTGTATAATTTATTTTTTTTTTCAAAAATGTATTGATTGTTTATTGTAATTTTATTCTGACAAATATCGGAGTCGGCTGAGGGGAAAACTCCATACCCGTCGGGTCCTTGTAGTTTGTTTTCTTGCCTTTGGGTTCAGAAGGGTGTCCGTGAGTGCTCCCCGAAAGTTTGAGAAGGCCTCATCTAAACGTCCAAATTGCCCTGTCTTCGCAGCTACAACTACTTCCGCGAGGACGAGGAGATCTACAAAGAGTTCTTTGACATCGCCAACGACGTCATTCCCACTCTGCTCAAGGAGACGGCCGCCGCCGCCGAGAGTCCCTCGGAAGGCGGCGATGCGACAGAAACGGTACGAGGGCAAGGCCCACTTGTCAGTCACTCCTCTGGGGGGGGGGGGGGGGGAATCTCCAATCTTGTCTTTATTTATTTTTTGGGTGGGGGCTATAGGAGCAGCAGCAACCCCAGCAGCAGCAGCAACAGGCAGCTTTCTCGGCACTGCAGGACCCCGAATGCTTCGCCCACCTGCTGTGCTTTTACGACGGCATCTGCAAGTGGGAGGAGGGCAGCCCCACACCGGTGCTGCACGTGGGCTGGGCCACCTACCTGGTCCAGTCCCTGAGCCGCTTCGAGGCGCAGGTGAGGGACTGGCCATATCGCCGCGTACTTTTCAGTCACGTCGACCGGGCCTGCGCTCTCATGTCATTCGAGGCCAGTCAATGGCGACACACGAGAAAAGCGTGCTTTCCGTGTCGGCTCGGTTGCCACGGAACGATGCTGAAGTGAGTTTGGGAGTTTCCGATGGACAAAAGCGCTGCTTGGCCAGCATCTCGGTGACAAGGAATGATGGAGGAGGAGTGGAGTTTCATTTAGAAAAAGTGTTTGGCCGCTGCCTTGCGGCACTGCCGTGCCACGTGGTGCTTTTGCAGCAGGGGTTGCTCCTCAACTGATTTGTCTGCATTTTGTCATCGTCAATGTCTTTGTTGGCGAGCAAACTTCTGCCTTGAGTACGGATGGTCAAATGAAACGAAAATGCCCAATATCCTTTCCACGTGTGTGCATTCAGAAGTTCAAATCAAGCTCAGCTGGAATTTTTGGGGTTCCTCTTGAAATCTCAGCCGGGAACTGACTCGCCCTCATTTTTTTGTGGGTGTCGTTTGTTGACGTCGGCTCCTTTCCACTCCACTCAAGGTGCGTCAGAAAGTGTCCATCATCACCAAAGAGCCCGAGTGCCAGGACGAGGACGACGCGTCCAGCGAGGACCCGTGGGAGGGCCGCAGGCGAGGTCCCCGCAGGGAGTCCAAGCTGGAGGAGCAGAACTCGCCCCTGGCGGCCGCGCCCGCCTCCCCGACCTCGCAGGCCGCCCCCAAGAAAGCCGGCGAGGGCGGCGCCGGCCGCCGTCGCTCGGAGGGTCAGCCCAAGTCCCCCGACGGTGGGCCGTGCTCCCCGCCGCCGCCGCCTCGCCCGGCCGCCCCCGTCGTGGCCTTCCAGAGCGAGAAGATGAAGGGCATGAAGGAGCTGCTGCGCGCCGCCAAGGTGAACTCCAGCGCCATCAAGCTGCAGCTCACCGCCCAGTCTCAGGTCCAGATGAAGAGGCAGAAGAGCACGCCGCCGGGCGATTACTCCATGTCCTTCATGAAGAGGCAGCGCAAGTCGCTCTAGGACCATTTTGAGCGCCGGCCCCGCCCACTCACATTCCTTGCGCTCAAACGTCCTCCCGCTGCCGTCATGTTGTGTCGCTATCTGAAAGCATGACCATGACCGAGAAGAATACAGTTGTGTGCAAATTGTCCCCCCAGTACATCCCAAAACAGTTGAAGAGCATTTTTATTCATGCACCATTTGCAAAAAAACACGCAGCCATGACTCCCTGCAGCTCAACCCAGTCGAAAGCCAGCTCCAAAGATTGTCCCACAGTTGAGATGCATCACTTCACATTACTTTTCACACCAATGTACTATTTTCCTATTAGACAGGGCTTTGGGGCCATCTTGTGGCATCACAAAGAGCACAAAAAAAAAACCTGCTGCTGATTACAATAGTTTCATATCAGACCTCGTGTCAACAAAGCAATTCCCAGTTCACGTTGCCTCATCGGGACATGTCGACAAGACTGCGAGCCGAGAAAGTCAAGTTAGTATAGTTACTGTGTAACATTGTCCACTTCCGTGTTAAGGATAGCTTCTTTCTTGCTAGCTCGATGTTGCCTTATTTGCTTTTTTTTTTTTTTTTTTTTTTAGACTAGGCCTTGTAGTTTGGACTTGGCCCACTTTTGTGATTTAGACAAAAAGCCCGCAAAGCTCTGTCAGCACAGAACCGCGTGAAACGGTCACCCAATGTTGCGTTCGCTTGTGATCTTTGTTTTTGTAACCGCGAGTAATAAAGACAAAGAAGTGGAGGCGGATTGATTGATGCGTGTCCTTGTTTCCGTACTTTTTTAAAAAATTCATTTTGCACTGGTCCACTCACCTGAATTGTGCGCGGGCAGCACGGGAACAACGGTGTGGGTGTGAATGCTTGTTTGTCTATATGTCCCTGGTGACTGGCTGGCGACCAGTTCAGGGTGAAGTCTGCTTTTTGCCTGCTTTGTAGATAGTGTGTGTATGTATAGATACATATTTAACTGTGTGTGTGAAGCCACGGTTGTTGTTGGCCTTTTTTTGTTTTGCCCCCCGACCCCACCCCGTAGCGTGCCTTTTCCCTTTTTTTTACGCTCCTGCGTCCTGGACTCCAGCTGTTTTTTCCTCCACGCGGCGTGGACGTAGAGATGCTCTCGCGCGCGTGTTTCTTTAAAAGTCGTTTGTTTCCGTGTCTGTTGTTCTTTGAAAGGAGGGGGGGGCGGCTCTTCCAATTGCCGTTCTTTGTCCTCCGCCTCAGGAGCAGCCGAGCGACATGCGCGTCGCCTAGACAGAAGCAGCAGCACGACAGCGAGCGAGTATGGAGCGCATCGGGGTGTCCTTCCTCGACCCTTTGGACGACTACGACCTCATTCACCGGATCGGGTGCGGCACCTACGGGGACGTCTTCAAGGTGAGACGCAGCCACGACATCAGCCCATTTTGTCAATCGGTGACGTGCCATGTTTTTCTCGCGTTCTCACAATCGGATGCATCTGCGACTCACTAAAAAGAAAATGAAAACTTCCCCGATAGCCTCCCACTGATGCTTTGGCACTTCCCGCGCAACGATTTTCAACGTATTTTTCTCTCGGACACTTGATGAAAGGCATACCCGTTGCATACAATGGGGTTGGGTGATTTGGACAAAAACAAGATTGAGACATTTTGTTTTTAATTTCCAGAGAGATTATGGACAAGAGGCACAATATGAGTCAAACACACCCCAAATAATACTTTTGCCCCCCTCGGCAGCACGGAATTTGCCCGCTTTTGCACGCCCGATCCCAACCGGTCGCGTTGACGACGGTGCCTTTCGCGAGACTGGAATTAAATTCCTCCAGTGAACACCCACGGCGCTCAACGAGCAGTCCGAATCGTTCGCGGGTGTCAAGTCGTTCACCGATTCGCCTCACTCTGCGTCCTGCTAGTCTGCCGGAGTTGCACTCGTCGTTTTGCCGAGGAGCGCGCGAGTGCTCGGATGAATGACTTGTTTCATTGCGGACTCGAGGTCCAGCCAGACACAGACAAGGCGGATACACAATATCAAATATATACAAACATACTCGACACGCATGTCGAGTAAATGCTCCAACGGGTCGTCGCAAAGACTTTTGATCACTGACTTAAACTCAAGACAATCGGGCACGCTCGTCGAACCGCCGTGTTGTCGTTTATTGCATATCGCATGATCGCGTCTCTGCAGGCGAGAGGAACAACTTTTCGCACACTCGTCTGACAACGACGTGACAACGAGTGAGCCAAAGCTGCGCTCATTGACGTGTACAGTGATCCCTCACTATTTCGCGGTTCGTTTATCGGGGCTTCAGTGCATCGCGGATTTTTTTCAAACTTCATAAAAAAAAAAAATAAATAAATAATAAATAAAAACGGTCCGCAAGAAGCAGCGAAAGTCAGCAAAACAACGGCGAGTCACATAGAGCAACATAAACAGTACTACATGTACAGTATATGTTTACTGCATTTTGTTATTCATACACTAATCTAACCTAACTTATACGTGTTTAAATCTATTAGTATACAGCATGAAGTAACGTTAATTCCTACAAAATTGGCGGCATCCTGCGAGTCTGCCAAAGTTGCACACCGAGTGAGGACAAAGAAAGTCGTCCGTGAACCTTGAGGAGCTGGGTGCACGAAAGAAGTGATCACGCTCGTCAAGAAAACAACTCTTAAAAATGAGAGAAAATGTATTTCTTCAGAAACTCAGCATTGCTCAAGGGATTGTTCGATTTAACAGAGTTCAACACGTGACACTTTTTTTTTTTTTTAACGTGCCAAATTTGAAGGCAGTCGTAAAACGTCGCTTGCTTCGACAGTTCTTCCCGCGCCTTTGTGTCAAGTCTGCTGAATGGAGACATGGAAAGGGCGTCCTGTCGGGGACAATGGCTTGCTTTCACCTCGGTGGGAGGCAAAAATGCGGGGACAAAAAAAAAAGAGAGAGATCTCCACCTCCGGAGTGTAGACTGACATGAAGATGATCTCAGTTCACATGAGATACAGTGAGATGTTTTTCGATTATCCGGTCCTGGGTGAGCCCTGTCTCTCACACAAAAAGTCAGCTGGGATCAGGTCCAGCTCACCCGTAACCCGAATGGATACTCTATCAAAAGTGTATGGAACAGGTGGTCCACAGGGATGCGTATTTGGCCCCAATGAATACAGTATGTATTGAAAGTGGATGGAAGCGGCGGCGCATCAGAATGTGCAGTGTGTGAAACAGGCCAGGCTGCTATTTAGGGCCAGCTCAAACGATCACTTCGCTCACAGGAAGCTTCAACAGGAAGGAAAACAGGAAGTGAAGACACCTTTGACGTCGCGTGGATGCCACAGCCAAAAGAACACGTCACCGTTGCGTGCCAGGCCACAACTGTAGTTAGGAACGATGCTGACAAATCAGCGTTCTGCGTACGATTTTGCATCACGCGTCTTTTTGGCAGCGCCTCAGGGAAGCCAGACAGATTCGGACTGAGTGCTCCGCAATGGTGAGGCAGATGTGCGAAGCGCCACATCAACGGGCGGCCCCGTTCCCTGCTTCTGGGCCACTGTTTTTGTGATGCGGTTCAAAAACACGAGCGCCCCTTTGAAATTGTCCAATTACAAGCACGCCTGATTTTCCTTTGAGGCCCGCCCACGTTTCGGACACGTTATTAGTAGCCCGTCGCAGACCGGTTCAAGGCCGTTGTTTTTGTCGCTCTCTCTCATGTGCTTTGTGTGTTGTTTTCATTGGGTTCGACCAACACGAATTTATTCATTATTTTTTTGCAGCCGGTGCTTATTCAGAATTTACGTCATGCAGCAGACAATTTCTTTTTGGTCCCTTTATGCTAACAACATTCAAGATATGAAGGAGAGGCAGAAAGAACATTTGATTGTTTGACAAAAAAAAAATATTCCAGCCAATAATTGATTAATTCATGTCGAGACATAACAAGATATTAACATGAAAAAAAATGTTGCGTGTATGTCCATTCAGCATTTTATTTTATCTGATGAAATCATTTGTGAGTGCATGAGGATTCAAAAGATGCTCATGAATTCCTGCGGCGACGAAGACGTGAATTTGTGTTTCCCCCTCGTCACGACGCAGGCTCGGAACATCCGCACGGCCGAGCTGGCCGCCATCAAGATTGTCAAGCTGGACCCATGTCAGTCGTAACTCGGTTCTTCTTCTCGTTGGAATCCACGCCGCTTCCGCGGGGCGAGCCCGGCCTGACCTTGACGCGGTTGCGCTTTTCTTCAGGCGATGACATCACGTCCATCCAGCAGGAGATCACCATGATGAGGGAATGCAAGCACAAAAACATCGTGGCCTACTTTGGCAGCTACCACAGGTATTTGGGAAAACACGCAGCCGGAATTGCCAGCGCGACATGGATACAAACACCCGGCTCTTGCTCTTGAGTTGAATACGTTTGAAAGGAGGAGAGGGAAACCGACAATTTTTATTATTTTTTTTTGTTGAAGATTCTTCAATGTGAAATCCTTGTTAATCCTGCTTTTTACGCCTCCAGAAGAGACAATGGGCAATGTCGAGCATGTATATTGGGATAAATAAGTGCGTTAGTTTTGCGGGTGGTGTTGGGGGAGCTTTTTGGTGCTCTCCGCTGCTCTTGCTCTTTCTCCTGATTGGATGTTTCAAAATATGTTGGAATTGTTTCAGAAGTGTATCTCAAGACCACGTCTTTTTTTGGGGGGGGCGGGAAGCTGAGCAAAGTTTTTGTGTTGTCGGCCAGGAGCACCAAACTGTGGATCTGCATGGAATACTGCGGGGGAGGCTCCCTTCAGGATATCTACCACGGTATGAATACGGTAGATACAAATGTGGTTTTGAGAAGAAAAAAAAAGTGCACTTTGATTTTTGCCTTCACCTTTGTGCCTTCCCCCCACCACCACCACCGAAGTGACGGGCCCATTAAAGGAGAAACAGATTGCCTATGTCTCCAGAGAAACCCTCCAGGTACATTTTTGTTGTTGTTGCTTTAAATTCTATGACATGACAGGCTGCAGTTAAAATGTGAAATCTGCGCCGGCAAGGCGACACCCGTTTTCCGCCAGCCACAGGACAACTAAGTAGCACTCCTAACCCTCAAATATAACCCAAGTGCGTTGAGTTCTGTCATTACGAGTGACAAAAGTCAAAAGTCTCATGTCATCGGGTTTCGGTGACCCTTTGAAGACATTCACAGCACTTGGAAGAACTCCGCAGCCTTTCAATTGGTCCTGTCGGAATTCAAATACAATGTAGCATCATTGGAAGCTGAGGAGCGCTCAGCACACCTGCCTGCCTCGCACTGCTGAGGTTAACGGTTGAAATCTTGGCCCTGGCCCAAATTCCAAAAACAATCCATGTAGTGTAACGCCGTAGCGATCCCTCTACATCAGGCCTTTCCAAACTTTTTCGTTGCAGGGCCGCCTACGGAAAAACGGAAGGATGAAAGGGCCACTTGAAAATTGGTCCACTTTTTGAAACACGCTCAAGTTAGTCAAGAAAGCAGTTCGACATTGTTTGTGTTGTTGCTTTCTGTTCAAGGTGCTCAGGCAAATATTTTTTGGGGTGGCCAACAGCCCTCTCTCTCACAGAACAGATCCTGCTCTGCACTGACTGAAAACAGCGACCAAATCCCATATCCGCATTCAGAACTCCTCCCCACCCCCACCCCCAAAAAAACATTTTTCATTTCTATGAGGAACTTTCATGTGATTGATGCCTTTTTTCAAATCAGCCGGAGAGCACAATTTTTGCCTCTAAAATTGAATCCTCTTCATTCACTACAGTGTTGGGAAAAGAAATAGAGTTGTTTTTTTTTTAATCACAAATGGTTTCTTTGCATCGTACAGAAAAAAAGTTCTAAAGTCCACCCTCCCTTCTCACTCTGCCCACTTTCACCTTTTTCAACTAACTTTCCGGCCCAAATTGACACCGGCTAAAACAAAATGAGTCCATTGCCATCTAGTGGTCGATAGTGGAATTACACCAAAAATAGGCAAGAGGTGCTGTCAGAGGCTTTGTATTGTCCCACACGATGGGGTTATTCACTGCACTCTTATGTGTCTTGCAGGGCTTGTATCATCTGCATGAAACGGGCAAAATGCATCGAGACATCAAGGTAAGGCGAGCCGCCTCGCACGCCTCAGTCTTGATTTGATCGCGCAGTAAAACGTTGTGTTTGTCCACAGGGCGCCAACATCCTTTTGACAGAACGAGGGGATGTCAAACTGGGTCAGCTAAAATCTGGACGCGTACCTGCTTTGTCCGGCTAATAATCGGACCGGGCTGTACGAATCTCATTCCGTGCGTGCATGTGCCTTGTAGCGGATTTCGGTGTGGCAGCGGAGATCAGTGCCTCTGTCGCCAAAAGGAAGTCTTTCATCGGGACACCCTACTGGTAAGGGCACTCGTTTTAGTGCACAACAGAGCGGACGCTAGGACGGAGGGAATACTCACACCCACGCCCAGGATGATCCGATCATCACGGTTTTTGTTGACTTTGGTTGGAAGGGCGGAAAAAAAATGCTCCTTTTGGTCTGAGAATTGTTAGGTATGTACTGTAGTGAACACATGACGACAACACACCGCAGTCAAGATGATCACACACCACACATGTCACGATAAGTTCACAGGAGAATCTCCTCGGCGAATTTGGTGTTGACCGCACACAGAGATTTGCGATCACAAGTACTCAGCAGTTTTATCATTTCCGATTGCTGATTGACGAAGAAAAATCCCTCATAACGTCCCACATCACATGACAATCTCCGAGAGATTTCCGAGAATCGGGCCTATTCTGTTTTGGATCAGAAGAGAGTGAAAATGTTCGGCCAGATGATTGGTGTGTGTGTGTGTGTGTGTGTGTGTGTGTGTGTGTGTGTGTGTGTGTGCGCGTGTGTATGCATGTGTGAGCGTGTGTGTCCGTCCACTTATCACTTACATACAGGAAGGAAAAAAATCCCTCTTACCGCATGATCCTTTCAAAACTTTTTCCGTTTTTGATCTGAGGCGGGGTAAATTTTTTTTTTTTTTAACATTCTATTTGTGTTTTTTAACTGCTTGTTGTAAGGTGTCCTTGAGTTCTTAGAAAGTTGCCCACAAATAAAATGTATTATTATTATTATTATTATTATAATTAAATTCTTTCCGTCGAGCCCGATGATCGATATGCGCGTACCCCACTTAAATCGAAAAAGAAAGTTGACCTCTGGCCTCCGAAGTGTACTCTAGCACGAAAATGAGCAGACAAATGTCGAATGACGAAGCAGTAGATAGCGAAAAGTGGAATGCCCCGAGAACGCTACCCGGCGGAACTCCGAGATCCATTGAATAAGCCGAGGAGTGACCGAAAGTCATCTCCGCTCTACGCAGGATGGCTCCAGAGGTGGCGGCCGTGGAAAAGAAAGGCGGCTACAACCACCTGTGCGACATCTGGGCCGTCGGCATCACCGCCATCGAGCTCGCCGAGCTGCAGCCGCCCATGTTCGACCTCCACCCGATGAGGTGGGACGGCAGCGGCGCAGACGCCAACCAGTTCTTTGGGTCTTCTTCTTTTGTGGTCGTCCACCACATTGACGGGCTCCATATTTCATGTTTCAGAGCTTTGATGCTGATGTCCAAGAGCAGCTTCCAACCACCAAAGCTCAAGGAAAAAAACAAATGGTGAGTTTGAACGACTGGCGCTACTATTTCCACTTCCACCATTGGTCCTTAATCCTCTGCCTTTTTGCAACGAAGGTCTCCAGTTTTCCAAAGCTTCGTCAAGATGGCGCTCATCAAAAGCCCTCGGAAAAGGCCCTCCGCTGAGACGCTGCTACAGGTGAGCGGGCGAGCCTTTGCCGTCGGCCCGTCCCTCGGCGCCCCGCCAACTGACGCCTTCTTCCGACTCCTCCTCCAGCATCCGTTTGTGACGCAATTGTTGACCCGCAACCTGGTCGTCGAGCTGCTGGACACCGCCAAGAACCCCGAGCTGCACGCCTCGCACAGCATGGACGACAACGAGGTGGAGGTCTGCGGCACCGTTGCCCCCGTATATGCTAGCTAACACAATAAATAGCAACCGTACTTCTCGAGCACTTGAAAACAACCACCGCTGGCTGCTGTCCGTGGAGCAAAAATAAGTCACGCAACCAAAAGACAAACAAACAAGAAATCCAGAGCAAAGAGCGTAGAAATCACAAAACCCGCAACACTAAAATTCAAGTCTCATGCGGAGTCAAAAGCCAAAGAGTCCCAATGACGAGTTTGAAAAATGCTGACAACGTTCAACGGGGAAGGCTCGCTCCCCTGTGAGCCTCCGCGTTGTTCTCGGTACTTTGACTGGTGTCCGGTCTGCAGACCTGAGCCACCGGGTCGGATCTCAGTGAGGTCTGGTGGGGCCAGGCCATTTCAAGATTGGAAAACAAATCATACCATCTCCAAAAGAACTCTAAAATGAGCCAGTGAAGGGATGCCAGAGTAGGAGTGATGTGCTCCCTCTTACAAGTACCAGCCAAGAGGCGAGCGGCAGCACTCTGGACCAACTGGAATGGAGGATTGGCTGCTCCAAAGTGCATGACAGTAATCCAGCTGGGATGTGACGACGGCATGAAGGACTGCATCTCCAAGTGCTCGTAAAAAAAGGAGAGGCTTGACTTTCGCCAGCTGCCGTAGATGAAAGAAGCTGGATTTGACAACGGCACCGATTTGCCGCTGCAATTTCAAATCGCTGTCCAGGTTAACACCCACGTTGGAGGCCGCTAAGCAGCCAGGGGGCCCAAGTCCTCAGGGTGGGATATACAAGGGCCGCTGGGACCAAACGCCGCCACTTCTGTGACATGGGCTCGTGATTGTGGGCACGCGAGATCAGCAACCTTTTAGAACGTGCGAGCCACTTCTTGGGTCTGGACTCATCTGAAAGGCACACTACTGACATCATACATTTGCTCAAAATACCACGAAGGAGATGTCAGTCAAAAGTACCGCAACGTCAATCATTTCACAGAGTACGGATCAAAATGATGAAACAATGTCGCAAAAATCCTAATGAAGTCAAGTTTAACGTCTACAATGTGTTTTTATTAAAGCGTGTATCCCTTCCATCTGTGTCGACAGATTGAGGTTGGAGCTCCGGACAAGATCCGGTCAGCGGGGAAACACCTGCCTGTCGAGAGAACCGTCTCTGAAGAACAATGTGAGTGCTGCCAACAAACAAGACGAACGGGCAAAGCATTTCTGCAAATGGATTCCGATTACTTCTTTTTTTTTTTGCCCCATATATTGCATCGTCATTTATCATTCGTGCAAGAAAGTCTTCCGATAGCAGAGACTCGAGAACAGGCAGTTGGTCACAGGAAGTCGGAATTTTTTTTTTTTTTGCTTTTGCAACCAAGAGTGGCTTTCCTTGTCCCGGCATTCAATGACGTCAACCTCGGTGATGTGAACGAGGAAGGACAAAAGCCCCTCAGTTGGCCGGCCGGCTCGCCCATACATGCGGGATGGCGGCCTGCCCGCCGGATGGCACGCACGACATGCCGCTAGTGTGGGTGTGCGTGCGCCCGCATGGTGGGACTCACGTAGCGACTTTTACACTCGGGCAATTGGGAACCGCCGTCGGAGTGCTTGGTGCTGGTGCTTCTGGGCCGCTCTCGGCGCTGTATCAAATTGTCAATGAACGATGCTCTCAACCTCCATTGGATTGTTAGAGTGACTCCGTGTCGTCCAAAGTTTCCATCAGGGGCACCCAAACATTTTTCAAATCACGGATTTTCAAATCGGACAAATGAGCCACATCGTTTGGAGGTGAAATATGTCAAATTGGTTGAAGAGTTAAAAAAAAAAAAGTAGGGCTCAATCCAGATGGATTTTTTTAGGTCGCTGCGGATTCTGATATTTGGCAGAGGAAAATTCCAATGATTGATTAATCAGCCAATCAATGAAAAACAAAACAAAAATATATATCAATAGCTTCTTTGCTGATTTTTTTTTTTTGCGGTGGGGGGGAAATGGGGTGGGAATGTTTGAATGTCATTATCTTTTATTTTAATTTGTAATGTGGTACCACAGCCAATTTTTGCGGCTTTAAAAATCGCTCATATTGGCAGATTACACCGGCCAACCAATTAACTGCTTAGACCCTGACAAAGAGTGACGCATGGTCATGATTCAGAATGAATTTCAGTATAACTAGTTCAACAATTATTTCATCATATTAAAAATTGAGGATGAAATGATCATGAATTGGGCGGCACGTTAGTTGAGTGGTTAGCACGTCGGCCCAAGAGTCCAGAGGCACAGGGTTCGATTCTGACTCCGGCCTTCCTGTGCTGTCTTTGCCTGCCTGGCTTTTCTCCGGGTATTCCGATTTCCTGCCAGGTTTCAAAAACATGCACACTAGGCAAATGGAACCCTCTAATTTGTCCCGAGGTGTGACTGTGGGCGTGAATGGTTGTTTGTCTACGTGTGCCCTGCAATTGGCCAGCGACCGGTTCCGGGTGTACCCCGCCTACTGCCCAAAGGCGGCTGGGAGAGGCTCCGGCACACCCGCGACCCACATGACGGTCAAGCGGTTGAGATAATGGATGGATGCATGATCATGAATGCTCAATAAATTGATTATGTATTTAAGAAAATAAAAAAATTCATAAGATTATTTTATTAAAATTGTGCTGATTTTAATGAGTTGTCGTGACCCAATCATGTAATGAAATAAAACAATGAGTTTTTTCAAATATTTTTACATTAGCAAAGACAGTTTAATGAAAAAATGTTTTTTAAACGATTTCAAAACTTGACATATATTTTTGAAAAAATGTATGCAACTGAATTAACTGCAATTCTAAAAATACAACATGCGATGAAATCCATTAAAAAACAAACACATCAAATCCCAATTGTTATTTTCCTTTTTTTTTTTTTTTTTTTAGTCGGCCAAGTGAAGTTTGGGCCACCGCTGAGGAAAGTGACCGAACCGTATCCCGATCTGGTAACATTGGCTCCGCTAACCGACGCTCCTCTGAAAGAAGCGAGCACGCAGCCGAGCCAACGTGCCGCTTTTCTCCCCAGCAGGGCTCGTACGACGATGACTGGAGCTTGTCCGGAGATGAAGACGACTCACCGTAAGAGGCCTTTCCGTGTCGTATGACATCAGTCTTTGTTGTCTCTTCATCTGAAACACAAAGTGGGCCACCGAGAGAGAGCCAAGTGTTGTCTTCGTTTCAAACTTGCGTGTTTCCCGCGCGTCTGTGAGGCAGTGAACGTGCCGCAGCCGAATCACTGTCATCCGTTCGAAAGCGAAAGCACACCTGGAAATGATGAGGGGAAGCGAGTCGCTTAGTCCGGAATGTAAGCGGAGCGCCTCGGCTCAAAGTTTGGGAACGATCGACTTCCTGCTGGCCAGTGGAGCGCATGATTGGTGCCATTTTGATTGGATGACGTGAGGATGCGCTCTGGTGACCTTGGGGGGGGGGGAGAATTGAGTTTGAATTGCAAAAGTAGAAGCCTCCTCTGCTGGCTCTTGAAAGACTTTTGATGCCATATTAGTTCATTCCTTCCTCGACCGGATCTCAACTCCTGTTTTTCCCCCACTGATATGAGTGGAAATGCCATTCATCCGTTTTCAGTCGAAGGAAGAAAAATGGCTTCTCCATAATATTGTACTTTATAAAGGCATGCGCTGGTGAAGTACCCCTCGTGAACTAAATTAGCCAAGTAGCTCGTATCGTGAAAACTTGGACTGTAAGTCGGTCACCTGAATGTCAAGGCATAGCTGTATAAGATGCAGGACGCTGTCAAAGAAAAGAAGAGAGAATGTATTCCAAATTTCCTTTGGCTTAAAAACGACAACCAAGCGGAACCATAAAACGGGCCGATTGATCATCAACAAGGTGGCGGCTTGAAAAAGTATTACTCGCCTTTTTCCCTACGTCGGTCTTTGAGAAACAATTTGCGAGGGGACGCCCCAACCCCGGTTCCTTCCCAACCCCGGTTCCTTCCCCGCCATTGTTCTGGGCCGCCGAGGCCTGGAGGCCAGATAAACAGCAGGTCTTCCTGTTGCAGGAGCCTGCTGGAATGTGTGGAGCAAGCTCTGCAGCTGAGGTAGGCCACGTCCGTCCTCCCCAGCTCGCCCGTCCCTCCCATTTTGTTGCGTAAACATCAGCTCCCCTGACCTCATCCAGTGGGTTTGTGTTTAGCCCCTCCTCCTAATCCAGACCCCAATCCCTAAAACCCCCGCCGCGCTCATCATCTGGATTTTGCGATTCACCGCAAACCCACTGACTGGTCGGCGGCTTTGTGTGAGTGCGTCTATGTGCTTTTCCTTCCGCTTTGCTCGTCCCGGTCACGTCACCCGACTCTCGCCTAAATCCGTGTCTCGGTTGTTCTGACCCAATCGAAGGTTGATTGCGACTTTCTTTTTTTTTGCCCCCCCCCCCTCCACCCCCTGCCCCGCCCTCTTTTTCAGGAGTTTAACCATAAGGAGGGCGCCATCTATTGATGTGAGTCTCATTGCACATGCACACAAAGAAAATCTCTGACCAGTCCTCGCTCGCGGTGTTTTGCGTCAGAACATGAATCTGTGAACGGTTTTCTCGATCCCACGCCACACCGTTTTTCCTTCTTTTGAAATCCCCTTTGATTGATCGCGTTTGCTTTGGGTCTCCTGGCTGTTTTAGTTCATGAAAAATATCTGGCATGTTGGAACAGGACAATTTCTCATCGGTGCCTCAATAAGATTTGCGCTGATCGGGCACATTATGAGAAGGGGAAAAAGATTTCCTCATCTCCGCATCTTTGTCAGGAATTCACCAAATGATGATTGACGTGGATGCCCTCAACTGTGATCCTCCAAAATCTTTTGACGCTGCGCCGACAGTATATCGTACTCGATCACAATGGATAAACAATCAAAAGATTGAGTCACAATCGAGGAAGAGGCGATTTGATCCAGAAAATTAACTTTTGAAATGGGCCCGAACAAAGCACAAATCTGGTTCCCAAATGCTTTGAAATCTCAAAAAACAATCGAAGCCATTCATTCCTCAACCCAGGCTGGCGGCCGATGCAAAGTTGAACAAAATGAATGCACTCGATTACCAAATCAGGCTGCGATCTGGGGAGGAAAAAAAAAAGAAGCACTGTGAAGACTTTTCGGATGCAGTGTACATGGGACAGAATTTGACGTCATCATTTTGCTGTGGCAGGGAGGGAGGAAGAGCGGCTTGTTCAACTCGACGACAGCCTCCCTGCCCGCCTTTTGCTCGCTAAGCATCAACACCGCCGACGGAAATGCGACGCAGAGGCCGAGCTGCACGCTGGGCCCCGACGCCTCCGCGGCGCCCGATTCGAGCCACTCTTCCGGTACGAAACGAAACGGCGCTTCCGCCATGTGCGTCTCGCCGGTGGTGACTTTTCAAAATGCGTCTGTCAGGCGTTTTGGCCCGGTGCTCGGCCACGCGGGACGTCCGGCAGCGCTGCGGCGACCCGTGTCTGCCCGAGGGGGTTACCGTGTCCGCAGAGATGAGGAATGCCAGCGCTGAGAAAGAGACGCCGCTCTCCCCTGAATGGAGCACACTGAGGAAAAAGTCTCAGCGACCTGTGAGTTTCCACCACTGCCATGTTCACTATCTTCACACTTGTCTCGTATGGAAACAGTTTCCTCATTGAATTGGCTTTGAGATTCAAGATTTGGAGTGAAAACATAGTGGTCCCCAACCACCGGTCCGCGGACCGGTACCAGGCCAGGCAGATGCTTAGTCTGTCTCGGGCCGGACAGAGACAGACCTGCGAGCTGCGCGCAAATTGACTCCATCGGACGTGGCGGAAATGGGCGCGACTCAAGCCAATCGGAGTTCCTCTCTTAACTTTGGTTTGCCAGTGGGAATGAACAGACTCAGCCAAGAACTGAAAGAACAAGCAGTCAACAGGAAGTAAGAGTAACATATTGAGCAAACCTAAGGCCAGCCAAACGCGCAGCCATGACTTGCGAAGGTGAAGCTATTTGGACAAGAGAGGTTCCTCCTCTCGCGACGTGGACGAGGAAGCTGTTGTGCGTGCCATGTCGTCCAAAACAAGGCGATGCTGCGAGTGAACCTGTTGGAGCATTTGAACAAGTAGCACCCGAGGGATCAAGTGGAAAGCATGAGAAATGCGAGCAGAGTTTGCACAGCCTGCCCACGTCATTCATTAGCTGTTTCGGCGCTAATAACTAGCCATCCGGCTAATGGCAATCATGCTAACGCCGCAATATCATTCCTCATTGGTCGATTTCTTAGTAGTTCACTGTGTTATTTTCTTTTATTCAATGCCCTGTAGCTTGTCAACGTGTAAATTATGAGGAGATTACTCCAGTTTTCTGGTTTCAAGTATGAAATTCTTCATGACTCACTATCCTCTCTCTTAGGACCTGAATGGAACTCTGAAGAGCTTGCTGTCCGAATGGTTCTCTGTAGGTCTGCTCCGACTAGAGCGGATCACCTGGCAGTCACCCTGTGAGATCCTCCAAAAGATCAGCCAGTAAGGCACCAAATGTTCATTCATTCATTCATTTTCCGAACCGCTTGATCCTCACCAGGGTCGCGGAGGCACCAAATGTGATTCTTCAAAATGTTATTTTCCCACTCTTTTATAAACAAATGTTTCAACCTGAATCAAGCAGAATAGCTTGGAAAATGAAAAATGTAATTACAAATCCTCTGTCAGGTATGAAGCGGTGCACCCTGTTAGGAACTGGGCTGATCTAAAACGCAGAGTGGGGCCATACCGTCGTTGCTATGCCTTCACCCATGCTGCCATGCCCGGGGAGCCTCTGGTCGTGCTGCATGTTGCCCTCACAGAAGAAATCTCAGATAACATACAGGTTAGAAGGGACTGTTTAGGAGAATGTCGACCAACACCTTATTCTCGGGGCAGAGGAGGGAATCTACACACTCAACCTGAACGAACTTCACGAAGATACACTAGAAAAGGTTGCCCTGCTCGATCAGATATCCTGCATATTTTGTGGGGGAATTGACATTTTAGATTTTAACAGAAGACAGTGCTTGGGGGATTGAGACAATTTGCGATCTCATTTCCCACATTAAAAAAAAATGTTGCCAATCCATGCCGCAACATGCTGACACAAAAAGCACTACTTTAGATCAACGAGCCTCTCCTAGCTCTGGATTCCAACAACTCATCAATATTATTATGACTGAAGATACACTAGAAAAGGTTGTCCTGCTCGATCAGATATCCTGCATATTTTGGGGGGGAACTGACATTTTTTTTTTTTTAGATTTTTTAACAGAAGACAGTGCTTGGGGGATTGAGGCAATTTGCGATCTCATTTCCCACATGAAAAAAAATGTTGCCAATCGATGCCGCAACATGCTGACACAAAAAGCACTACTTTAGATCAACGAGCCTCTCCTAGCTCTGGATTCCAACAACTCATCAATATTATTATGACTCGATCTTAGTGCTGCCTTTGACACCATCCATCACAACATAGCGGTACAAGTCGAACGCCTCCGAAGCTGTGTTGTTATTTCAGGCTCAGGTCTTTCCTGGTTTAGTTCCTTCTTCTTAGAGAGGATGCACCGTTGTGTAATTTATGATCATACAACTTCTGAGTCGTGGAATGCTACGTGTGGAGTCCCACAGGGATCGGTACTTGGCCCTCTCTTGTTCGGCATCTGCGTGCTTCTGCTCGGTGACATCATACGCCGTCCCGCGGGTGAAGGTCTGGGGATGTCCTGAATACTTGTCAACTGGGGGCACGTGAAGCCCTTTGAGACCGTTTGTGCTGAAGGGCCATCGAAATAAATGTGACTTGGCTTGTCTGAATGAAACGCCGAAACTCACTTCAACAGAGTGCTTTGGCACCAAGATGCCACAAGAATTTACGACCATTCATCGGAAAAAAATGGGACTTTTTCCTCCCGTAATATGATCATTTTAATCTAAAAAATGCATAACTTTTGTCTCAAAAGATACAACTTGGTACTCTGGTATTACCACTTTAAACATGAAAATGTTGCTTTTAATCTCAAAAGTATACTTTCATGACTTTAAGATCAAAATATTACTCTTTGTGAAAATATAATATTTTCGTTATGGATTTGATAAAAAATTATGAATATGTATGCAGACACAGTGTGGATGATATCTACCTATCTATCTATCCATTTGTCTACCCCCCCTCCACACACACACAAACACACACACACACACACACACACACACACACACACACACACACACACACACACACACACACACACTTTTTGCCCGTGTTCGACTTTTGCGGTCCTGTCCTCTGCCCCACAGCTGCTCCCCCAGCGGTGCACGTGGCTGTATGTGATGAACAACGTGCTGATGTCCGTGTCAGGTAAAAGCGTCACACAAACACGCCACAAAGTATCCCACGTTCGCTCTCACCGAAAGTCTCCCGATCCCACGTCAGGAAAATCGTCACAGCTTTATTCCCACAGTCTGCCGGCCTTGTTCGAGCAGAAGGGACATTTGGCCAAAAAACGTGGCAGTCTGTCGCTGGGCACGAGCCGTTTCACGGAAAAGATCGGCACGAGGTAGGCCTTCTTGATTTTATAGCCCTTCCAGCTTGTTGGTGGACATTTTTAGCCACGGAGGTATTCTGTTTATTCATTATTATTATATATATATTTTTTATGACTCTCCAATAGCCATTCATTGTTCTTTTTCAACAGTTCAAATTGCAGTTAATTCGTAAAATAACATCCAAAATGATGTTTCGCTATTGCTGAGATTTTTCAAATGTAAAATATGTGCCTTGGCGCAAACAAGGTTTGGAGTCACGGTTATAGCAGGCCCGAGACAAACCAAGAGATGGGCAGGTACCGATACCAAGTATCGGTATCGGACCAATGCCTGACTTATTTCAAGGTATCGGGTACTCAAGTGTCTTCATAGAGCACTTTAAAACAACAACCGCTGTATACCAAGTGTGGTACAAAAATAATTCATACAACAATCAACAAATTAATAAAAAAGACAGTTGGAAACACAAAAACAGTCAAACTAAAAATCAAGTCCAGAGGCGAGCAGCAGTATTTTGGACCAACTGGAGATGCATAATGGAGATTTTGTCTGACTCCAAAGTCAAGTGCGTGCAGAGGCTAGCTGCCGATAGTGAAGGCACAAAAAAAAAAGAAATTCTGACATTAAGTCCTCCTCGCCGTGACTTGGCCCGACACTGAGGCCGTTTGACACACGGCTGAATAATAATCTACGTAACAATGATCCGTCATTGTGTTCACTGAAATGTTGTCAGACAAAATACTTGTGGTATCAATACTTGAGTCCTCAAGAGTGAATAGTCCTACTGGCGTCAGTCTGCAAAAAAAGTGGTATCGAAGATCCCGAGTTGGACACTCGGCGACATCATTGTTTTCATGTCCGTCTGAGGGATTTGCATCTGATGTCTCCTCAGAAAATTTGCCTTATCCATGAAGATCCCCGACACGAAAGGCTGCAGGAGATGTAGCGTCGGTAAGGCCGTGCGTGTTTTGCAGTCTGTCGCGCGTCCAATCTGCCCTCACTCGACTCGTCGCTTTGTCTTGCAGCTCGCAACCCGTACACAGACAGTACATTTTTATGCGGAGCGGTTCCGTCCGGCCTTGTTCTGCTCTTGTGGTACGAGCCCCTGCAGAAGTTCATGCATCTCAAGGTTTGTAGCCCGTTGCCTTCAGGGCTGGGGGGGCGCCGACCGAGCCTTTCGGGATTTCACGTTCTCCGTTACGCTCCAAGCACCTGGCGGCCAAGCTGCCCGACTCCCTGGCCGTATTTGAGATGCTGGTGTTGGTGAGCGACGAGTTCCCCCAGTTGTGCGTCGGGGTGAGGGACTGCGCCGATGGCAAGCTCAAGTTTGATATCATCGAGCTGAATGGCACGCCCATTTCAGAGCCAGGTATGGATCGCCGTTTGCCCCCTTCAAAAAGTGCTTCTTTCAAGGGTCTCTCGGAAGCGAACGGGGCTGTCGGGTCACAAAGTTGGAGGGAGGGATAGCAGAACATCCCCTTCCACCATTCGGCATTTCAAAAATATGTGTGCGTGTGTATCATACATAGTATTTTAATTTTAAAAAGATGATTTGTCTAAAAAGATCTAAAAAAATTCATCATCTTTTCGTATTCTGACTTTTTTTTAATATGACGTATTGAAAAGTTACTTCGAGAGAAGAAAAAGTTTATTTTTGATTCCAAAAGAGTGATGTATTTTTTTTAGAATGCGGTGATAATATTTCCAGAATTAAACATTTTGATTAGATTGTTCAAAATATGAAAATATGACTCTCCCTTGAAAATATCTTTTGTCAAAAACGTTCTGCTTTATATCTTGCAGTATAGCCTTTTTTTTTATCTCAAACATGAACACTATAAAACATGACCAAAAACAAATCTGGCAGCTTTTAAATCCTCCAAAATATAGTCCGGTACTTTGTACCTCAACAATGCACAACTGCATTCTCGTTGCAGTACAACTTAAATCGGGACAATCTGCGATATCTCGCAAAGTGTGGCAAATCCCCCCCAAACTCATTTGGACTGTTTCTTTGCAGAAAACGGAGCTGCCGAGGCCGTCCAGGTCACCCAGTTGGACCGAGACACCGTTCTCATTGCGTTCGAAAGTCAGCTGGCTCCATTTTGACATTGAGCTCTCAATTTGTCAGCCATGATTGTAATTTGCAAAATTTGACTTTTGACTCGACAGAAACAGTCAAGATCGTTAACCTCCAGGGCCTTCCGTCCAAGGAGCTAGCTGCTGAAATGCTCTTTGACTTCCCCATTGAAACGCTCGGTAAAGAAAACAATCATTTCAAAGAGGCGCCTTTTTGTCCTTGTTTTCTCGCAATTGATTTGATTTCCGTGTGTTGCAGTTTGCTTGCAGGACAGCGTGCTCGCTTTCTGGAAGCACGGACTGAAGGGAAGGAGCTTTCACTCCAATGAGGTGATGGAGGTTCAAGATGTTTTGTCGCACATTTGCGGCGTCGGTGCATAAATCGCTCACCGCATGACTCGTACTTGGCGCTCGTTTTGCAGGTAACGCAAGAAATTACAGACGAGAGTCGAGTATTCAGAGTTTTGGGAACCAACCGGTATGTGAGCCTTTCCTTTGTCCGAGAAGGAAACCATGATTGTAATTTTATGAGAATAAAATGGCATAATTTTACAAAAACGAAGGAGCTTATTTTTGACATGAGTGCCATCTAAAAAAAAAAAAAAAAAAAAAAAAAATCAGACTTTTTACACACACACTATGCGTCTTGTGTACACGTATACTCGAACTTGAACTCGCACCAACGAGTCTCATTCGCTATTCATATTGACATTGTCCACCAAATGACCAAATCAACTCGATAAGGTTTACTCGGTGCACTTTTGCCCAAAAATACAAAAGGAAAAATCCAATTTGAACAAAAAAATGAATAAAGTTCATTTTCATCATGCTTTATCTTGATCAAATGTTCATTCAAACGTATTGGGAGTGTCACCTACACCGATGCTCTGAAGCAGCATATCAAAACACGGAAAAGTTTTCCTATTTCGATAAAAATAACTGAGCTTAGTCTCCAGGATCCCGCGCCACACCGTGGCCAGTGGTACAACAAAGGTTGTTTTTCCTCTTTGGTCCCCTTAAAATTCCTTCTACATTGCTACTAGCCTCATCCTAGCTAGCGCAAAGCTAGCTTAACTCATTTTTGACGCGGGCCACTTTGGAGTTACATCGTCCTTTAGAGGCGGGGCGGGCCTTTGTGAAAGTGAAACCACAAAAATGTTGAATTGTCACATCGCATGATTACTTGAACATAACAAATGAGTGGTTTACTAGTTCTCAGACACTGAGACATCAAATCGAGTCGCCCGCAATTGGCGCACGAAATAAGCAGAGTCCGTAACCAGATTGAAGTTTAATCTTGACTTGAAATCATCGTCGTCAAGATACCCAGCATTGTCTTTTTCCCTTGGCTCTAGGGACATCATTCTTCAGAGCACACCGACCAACGAGCCCTCGGCACTGAGCAACGTCTACATTCTGACAGGCCACGAAAGCAGCTATTGAAACTTGCCTGCAGCGAGGATAAAATGAGCATCCGGAACGTATGGACTGCATTGCAAATGTGCAGATGCGTTGTACTTGAGAGAAGTTACTGTCTCGCCAGTTGATTTTGTGCTAAGCTTCTGAAGGCTTCGATATCTATTTTAACCTGAATGTACTGCCCGTAGGCCGGTTGGCACAACTGGAGCCACGTCCTTTTCATGCTGTACGCACTCTGCGGTCCCGCGAGACAATGTCACCGCGACTGCGCGAGACTGAATCAAGCCAAGTACTTTACATGTTGTTCCGACGCCTGTGCTTTATTGAAATATGAATAAGTACGGTTGTCATTTTATGAAAAAAGGAGAGACTAGTGCTCACTGTAAATAGTGGGAGGTATTTATTGTAGTTTACTTATCTAAACATGGGCAACTCGCACCTGAGAGACTCCGATTAAGTCGTAACGTACGTTCCACTACACTGAAAGTGTTTTTCTATCATATTTATATTATTTATGGAACACGCACTGTACAGGTAAACGCTCACTTGTGCCTGAAATACTTGAAGATAATTTGCATGCAACCATGTTTTGAAGTTCATATAACATTTTTACACTATGCTTGTAATGTGTAGTGTTTTTTTTTTCATAACATAAAATATTCATGTTTCACTGTCACTCATATCCTTGACAGAGGTTATGTCACGTTGATGGTTGATGCTGGACCTATTATGAAATATCGTACAACGTATCACAAATGAAATAAACATAATGATTCTATTTCTACAGAAGCAAAAACAAAAGTGTGTTTTGTCTTGAACATGTTTGACATGATTTAAAGGACCCACAACCCCGCCTGCCCAACCCCCAAAAAACAGATAAGATGGCTGTGACGTGCTTCTTTTTCTATTTTGCTTGTCCTCTGAGTCGTTAGTCAGCTGGAGCCAAACCTCGCAGATAACCATTCACACCTATGGACAATTTTGAGCACGGCTATCACACTCAAGGCCCGGGGGCCAGACCAGGCCTACCATGTCATCTTACGTGCCCTCGCGAAACAAAATCATGTGTGTCAACTTGCATGATCCTTGCTAAAATCTGTACCGAAATGTCAAATTGTCACGTAATAAATAACGTTGAGATTCTGCAATAATTGTTACCCTACTCATTTGAACAAACTACCATCGTTGACTGATTTCAAAACTAGTAATCCATTAATTTGTCCCGTACAAGTAATAACGCGACGAGACGATGAAACGTTTTTGTTGTTTCACTGTCATATTGGCCCTCTGAAGGAAGGCGTAAGTCCAAAGTGGCCCGCGACAAAAATATTTTGACTCCCCTGATTCAGTGTCCTTCCATCCATCCATTTTCTGATCCACTTTATCCTCACAAGCGTGAGGCATGCTGGAGCCTATCCTAGCTGTCTCTGGGCAATAGGCCGGGGAAACACTTAACAGTTTGCCAGCCAATCGCAAGAGTACCCGGAGAAAACTCACGCAGACACGGGTAGAAAATGCAAACTGAGTGAGGCCAGAGCCGGGATCGAACCCACGACCTCTGCACTGTGAGGTCGACGCGTTAACAACTGGAAACCCCGGCAGCCTGATTCCGAGTCATGAATGCCTATTTTTTGGTGGAATTCACACCCTGCACGAAAACTGCCCATTTTTCAATGCAACGCATTTGAGTCATATTTTAAATCGTGAGTCATAATAAGCACAGTGTGAGTCGAGAAATAAAATGAATTCAGACATGATTGATCGACCTTGATAAAAAACCGAGACGTCACCGACGCGTCGTGGTTTTAATGCTAGAAATTGTCCCTTTTGTGACCAGTAGGGGGCCGCAACGTGGCTTTGTGGCGTTGAATCGCACACACAGAGGAAGTGGAAGACGCGGCCTTGGAGAGTCGCTCGAAGCGCCATTTCACTCCTCATTCATTGGCGTCGATTCCTATTTTTCTTGCACAGTGGTAAGTCAGACTTTTCACATGAAATATACCGTTTAAAACTCGCCGCTAGTGGAGATTTCATAGTATCGCGTCCTTACCGAGCCTTGCTGGCTTTGGCGCGATCGGCGTAATGTTTACTAGCTGACGCATTGAGCCCGCCTTCATTTAGCAAACGTGCGCACGCCATCCCCTCGGTGATCGACAATTTCGTTTTCATCGGCTCGGTGGACGCTAACGTCACGTTAATAAATGTAATGTCACTTTGGACGCGATATCTCGGCGCCAAAGAATTGAATTTATGTGCAAGCGAGCCTCGGGCTTGTTAGCGTCGTGTAGCACGCGTCGGGAAATGCCTTTCGCGAGCCACTACGTCATTGCATCGTAACCGACTTTGACTTGTTTGATTGCGTAGAGCGACTCTCTGCAGGTCGGCTTTCATTTCACACGTTGGATTTGAACGGCGGGGCAGGATCGTAGTGGACTGGTGAGCGCGTCTGCCTCGCAGTTCAAGGTTGGGAGCTGCAATTAGGGCTGCGGCCTTCCTGTGTGGCTTTTGCAAGTTCTCCCCGTGTGGGTGCGTTTAACCAGGCGCGCCCCCCCCCCCAAAAAAAACATTCATATTGGGTTCAGTGGGTACCATAAATTGCCCCCTCAATTGGAATTTGAGTGATGTATTCGTCAAAATGTGCTCTGTGATTTGCTGGTGACTAGGTCTACACGCATCAATTGCACTATACAGTGGAGCGGGCCACGACTAGCGAAAATAAACAAATCTTTGACGCCAATTAAAATGCAACAGGGCAACGACATTTGCAGGGGGGGGGGGTAATGCTTGATGAATTGTTTCTACATATATTGTTTCATTAGATTTATTAGGGAAACCTGATTTGCATAAGGGGGAAAAAATTCTGAATCAGTGCAAAATAATCAAAAAGTTGACTTGCATCTCGGAAATAATCAAATTCACCCATATTTTGAACTACAGAAGTCTCTAAAATTGTGGATGTATGTTAGTATGTATACAAATGTTTGTGTTGTGTGTGTATGTGTATGTGGTGGTAGTATTAGTGACAAACTTGAATGAATAACGGCTTCTTCGACTTCCAGGGTCCACAGAGCGCCTGTAGTCATGGTGAAAATCTTTATCGGCAATTTGGCCTGCAACACCAGCGTCGAGGAGCTGCGGGGCCTCTTTGAGAAGTACGGCAAGGTCACAGAATGCGACATAGTCAAGAACTTTGGCTTTGTGCACATGAGCCTCCTGTCCGAGGCCGAGGAGGCCATCCAGAACCTCAACCAACACCAGCTGAACGGCTGGCGCATGAACGTGGAGCTGAGCAAGGGCAGGCCCAAGTCGAGCACCAAGCTGCATGTGGGCAACCTCGGCGAAGGGGTCACGGCGGACATTTTGCAGGCTAAATTTGAAGAGTTTGGCTCGGTTGTGGAATGTGACGTAGTGAAGGACTATGCCTTTGTTCACATGGAGCGAATGGAGGATGCCATGGATGCCATTAATAAGATGGACAACACTGCCTTCAAAGGTGACGTCTCGGTTCGGTGCTCTATGCTGTCCATAGATTTGGATTGTGCTCTCGTGACACCCCCACGCCCCACCCCCCACGCCCCAAAATCCCTGAGCTGATACTTTCCCCAGCCAGCGTGCGTGCAAGCCAGCGAGCGTAACTAACCTTTCGGGTGGACCTAAAATGTTTTCACGTGACTAAAACCGCGAAATAGCATCGGGACTCGATTCCTGCATAAAGTACCAAAACTGAAACAATCGCACGGTGAATGCGTCACTGACCGCAGAAATTCTTTGTATTTGTATCTACCCCATGATATGTCGCCGTAACGGGTGAAAATCCGCTCAATCCCTCCAAAATATTGTTGAATATCAAATGGTGTCACAAGGCTTCGGGATCAGATTGAGTAAAGGAGGAGCCTCATGATCCGTTAACGAGACCGCGGTATTCAAGCTATCACATGTACAAGACGGGGGGCTATTATGATGGAGGCTAAAGTGCTTAAAAAGCTCAGAAGCGCCACCGGTACGATATGAGTACGAGTACGGCCCGACTGGTTCACCGAGGCAAAACCACTCTTCTGCTAGCTCTTGCTCGGTGATTGCTTGTTTTTTCAAGTCGGTGAGAGCCTTCGTGTTTGGAAGGCTTCCGGTCTCATGCGTGTCTTCTCTCTCCTTACAAGGCAAACTGATGAGCGTACAACTGTCCACCAGTCGGCTGCGCACGGCCCCGGGAATGGGAGATCATACCGGCTGCTTTGTCTGCGGGAAACATGGTCACTGGTCGAAAGACTGTCCAGTCGATCGCAACAATAGCCACGGTGACGACATGAGAGGTTTCGGCGGCCGCGGCCCCCCACGCGGTCCCCCAGGTTTTGGCAGGGGCGGCTACGGAATGGCCGGCGCACCCCCTAATTTCATGGCTGGCGCTGCGTTTAATCGGGCTAGTTATGGCGGCGGAATGCCGCCGCCGCCGCCCCCCCCTCCTCGGAGGCCTGGCTCTGAGGTGGGGGATCGGTATGGTGAGAGGTCTTCAGTTTACGACCGAGATCGGGTGCACACTAGTGTTGACTACTATGAGAAGTACAGACCTCGCCCTTACGGCTCGAGTTATTTCGAGGAGCGCCGCATGTCCTATCTGCCCCCTCCCCCTCCGCCCCCACCCCCTTCTGCCCTCTCAAAGTTCTCGGGCATGGACCCGTACGAGCGGCATCCGCCGCCACCCGCACCGGCCACCCCTTCCGCTGCCGCTTACTATGCGAGAGAGCACAACCCAATCGGCCGGGCACCCGTCACACCGGCAGGCTACACGTATGAGCGCAAGCGGCTATCGCCCGTCCCCGCCGCCAGGGGCGGCTACATGCCACGCTACGCGCCGTACTAAAAGCACACGGTAAGGCTCGGATATTTGTCATGGACACCATCAATGAAAGCCACAACCAACAAATGCCTATTTTCTGTTTTAGGTCTTGGACTGAGCATCATTTTGTCAAGATTCCAGACTACGTGGTGCCACGTTCAGCTTTTTTTTTTTTTTCTTTCCCCCTCTCCATAATGTCACATTTATTTCTCAGTTTTGATTTTTTTTGTTTGTTTTAATATGTACATTGGTTGCTTGTTTTGCAAGATTTTCAGCTCGGATTTTAGATTTTTTTTTTTTTTTTTGTAAACCTTTTCACTTGTTCACACGTCAATGTGGGATTTTTTCTGGCATCACTTGTCATTTAAAAAGTTGGCTTCTATCCGACACGTTTGTATGTGAATGCGGCGGAAGAGCCCAAAATTTAATGGAGACATTTATTTCCTGTATCACTGAGTTTGTTTGCTTACTAAAAGCAAGTACGGATGTTCAACTCATCTGCTCATGCTTTATTACGCGTTTATCCCAAATTGTTTTCAGTGAAGTCATTTGCTTCCTGTGTCATAAAGTTCCTGTTTTTGCTTCAATTACTGTTCATGCTACTCTTATTAGCATTCATGTTGGATCGAAAAGCCACGCTAAAACTATCCCACTAAGTTTAAGTTTCTCGAATAGCAGTGAAGACAAATTATGCTTAAAAAAAACATTCCAACCTCCCGTTTATGACTACACAGTGTGTGTGAAATTAAAACCTTTTTATATCACTTTTTTTGCCTTTCTGAAGTGACAGTTCTTTGAAATAAAGTGTCAGAGTGATGGCAAGGCATGGAATGTCATTCCCCTGGCTTTCTGGTTTTGTACACAAAATTCACTTTTTATTTTTTCTTTTAAGGGGGGTCTCTTTTTGTAAATCAGCAAGAATCCTTGGGGTTAGTGACTGGGGGCTTGGACTTGATGTCAAAAGGCACCATTGTTCTGCCCTTTTTTTGCATCGAGGTACAGGTGAATGTTTTTCATACTAGCTGTAATAGCTGTAATATCAGCATATATTTTTTAAAAGTAAAATAAAAGACAAGTCATTTTGGCAAGTACTTTTGCTTTTTATTTTTCACCCCCCCCCCCCCCCCACAAATGTATACTACTTTCTATCTTGAGGATTTCATCTTGTGATTTTAGTCACATAGATGTTGAGAATGTTGAGTTTCTGCATCACAACAGTGGTCAGTGTCAAGTTGGTATGACAACACAAACTAATAGCTTCTCTTCATGTGGGGCTTACCTGTATCGTAAACATTTATATTCAGATCATGAAGTGTTGGTACCTAACCTCTTAATTACCATGTTAATGAAAGGCGTTGTGCACTTTTTAGAACGATGCGTGATGATGCGTACTCCGTTTACAAGGCAGAGTTGCCACATCCAACAAGGCGGACGCACTGACGGATCGTAGCTCAACGAGGCGTCAGAACGTCATGTTACGGTCCTAAGATTAACATCCGCTCTGTCCACTACATGAGTACAAGTTTAATATACGTTCAAATAAATATTTGGACTTGGGACAGTGCCGAAAATATGCGGAGGGTTACCCTTCACAAAGCCGGAAGTTATTTCTAAACTTGGTCGGTCTTGTGCAGAAAATATGCGGAGAGTTACCAGGACACCAGGCCGCAAGTTGCATGATTAGCCTTGGTACCAGCCAGTTAATTCCCTCAAACAAAAGCGTGTTGGCCAGTTAAGATAAGATATCCTTTATCTGTCCCACACTGGGGAAATTTACAGTCTACAGCAGCAAGATTGTGGGAAGAAAGAAGAAAAACAAAGTGTTGCAAATGTATACTACTTTCTATCTTGAGGATTTCATCTTGTGATTTTAGTCACATAGATGTTGAGAATGTTGAGTTTCTGCATCACAACAGTGGTCAGTGTCAAGTTGGTATGACAACACAAACTAATAGCTTCTCTTCATGTGGGGCTTACCTGTATCGTAAACATTTATATTCAGATCATGAAGTGTTGGTACCTAACCTCTTAATTACCATGTTAATGAAAGGCGTTGTGCACTTTTTAGAACGATGCGTGATGATGCGTACTCCGTTTACAAGGCAGAGTTGCCACATCCAACAAGGCGGACGCACTGACGGATCGTAGCTCAACGAGGCGTCAGAACGTCATGTTACGGTCCTAAGATTAACATCCGCTCTGTCCACTACATGAGTACAAGTTTAATATACGTTCAAATAAATATTTGGACTTGGGACAGTGCCGAAAATATGCGGAGGGTTACCCTTCACAAAGCCGGAAGTTATTTCTAAACTTGGTCGGTCTTGTGCAGAAAATATGCGGAGAGTTACCAGGACACCAGGCCGCAAGTTGCATGATTAGCCTTGGTACCAGCCAGTTAATTCCCTCAAACAAAAGCGTGTTGGCCAGTTAAGATAAGATATCCTTTATCTGTCCCACACTGGGGAAATTTACAGTCTACAGCAGCAAGATTGTGGGAAGAAAGAAGAAAAACAAAGTGTTTGCATTCACAAAATAAATGTTAAATGTGGATAGTGTGATAAAAGGTCGACATGCTGTATTTTCTCCACTTTAACTCATACAGTTGGTGGCGCTAATGCAACATCAAATTGATTTTTAATCCCGCCAGCGAACACCACAGAAGGAGAGCGGTCACGAGCCCAAAGTACTTTCAGCCCAACCCCCAATGTTAGCTTTAGCTTTAGCGTCCGTCGCCATTTTCCAGTGTGACGATCGTGAACGCAGACTCATCTTCCGAAGGTAGGCCGTCGAAGCACAATCGAAGAAAAAAAAGATCAACTCAAATTGGGGGGTTAAAACATTGGAGATTGAATAATAAGATTGAATAATAATTTCCTCCGGGTTCTAGTCCATTATTTAACCGCCCCGGTGACGTGATTACGGCTTGATTGAGGGATCTTAACGTTCCTTAGCGCGTGCGAAACATTACATGGGTTCGCAAATATTGAATTGCCTTTGAAATGCTCAAATGTTGTTTCATGTTACCGATTTCATATTTTTACATCGATACAATCTTGAATCGTGATTGAATCGCATTTTTCCCCTTTACGTCGCCAAAAGGTAGGCCACGACTTGCTCGTACCGCTGCTAAGGCGGCTACGGTGAAAGCTAACGCGTCTGTACAAGGCCAGCTATGGCGGCGTTTTTAGTTTTTCGTGTTATCGGTTTGTACGGTTAGATGATGTGGATTTCATGGATCTAATTCAAGTGAGGGTTCTCGGGACGCCAGCGTCATTTCGCTAAGCTGTTGTAGTATGCGCATGAGGTTCGTCCATGTTGCGCAGACATCCATATTGTTTGCGCGACGCTAAACACAAAAGAACTACTACCCGTGCCCACACACTCGCTCGTTGCCTTGCAGATATGTTTTCAGCTTGTGTGTGGGGAGGTGAAACCGTTAAAGTATACCTCTGTAAATGTATGTGTATGTTAAAAAAACGTTAAAGTATATCTGTGTAAATGTATGTGCATATAAAAAATGTGTATATGTAGCCTATTTAGCGGTTGGGTCAGTTATGTTCCCTCCGCGATGAACAGAATCCATTATACTGCAATTATGGAGTTCGGTCTGATCATTTTAAATGTCCCCCACCCCCTTTTCAGGAGTGAAGTGTAAACGGTCACAATGGTGAAAATATTCGTGGGGAACCTTTCGCCCGAGACCACATCAGACGAACTGAGGTCACTCTTCTCTCAGTACGGCAAGATTGCCGAGTGTTCCATTCTGAAGAGTTTCGGCTTCGTGCACATGGACAGCAAGGCGGAGGCGGAGGAGGCCATCCGCAACCTCCACCAGTATCAGCTGAACGGCCAGGCCATGAACGTGGAGCTGAGCCGTGGCAAGACAAGAGGCTCCACCAAGCTCCATGTGGGAAACATCGCATGCACCAACCAAGAGCTGAGGGCCAAGTTTGAAGAGTACGGCGTGGTGGTGGAGTGTGACATAGTTAAAAACTATGCCTTTGTTCACATGGAACGCATGGAGGATGCCATGGAGGCCATTAATCAGTTAGACAACACGGCTTTCAAAGGTGACCTCCTGGGCTGGGCTTTTATTGGGGAATGTCTTATCTGATTTAACTGTTTTGTTGTTTAAAAAAAAAAAAAAAGGTAAGTCTTGAATATACAACAGGTGAGTGAAACGTCGAACATCAACAGCATAGTAGGACTGGGCGATTAATTGGTCGGTGTTGTGTAGTTTGCAACTTTCCCGGCCCCTGTGGTGACAATAAAAAACAAACAAAAAATATGAATTTGATTCCTGCTAAGAAACAGAACATAACCATCTCCACTTTGTATGACAAAAGCTTGGTGGAAGGTATTCATTTGTTCTTGCATGATGTAAAATTATTGAACATTGTAAAATTAATTCCCGTCGAAGGCCATGTTTACTATACATGGGAAAACAAATCTATTTTGGCTAAAGCTGATGCAAGTTAGCTAAAAAAAACTTGTTTCGCAAATCCCAAAGGGGGAAAAAATGCAATTTTTGTTTGTTTTTTCAAGCAGTGAAGAAAAGCTTACAATTGGATTCTTTTAATGGTGGGGAAATTGGACGTTTTATTTTCTGGCCGTATCGCCCAGCCCTACTGAAAAGCTACTGTTCTAAAGCTGGTATCCGTAATGTTGCCTTGTCTGTCCGGTACCACCTATACTGTACTGGCCATCGGTGGCTGAAGGCTGAATATAAATTTGTCTTTTCTTGACTATTGAGCTCCGCACACTGGAATGAGCATGACGGGTCGTGTTGCTTTTCGTGTTGGTGCGCGGGCCCCCGAATAAATCAAAACGGTGAGGGCAAGATGAATTTTGCGCGAATGTTTAGCTGCATCGGAGCACCACAGAACAGTAACCCGACACGGGGTTGTGCGACTAGTTGTCAAGAGTTGCCAACTATCAGCAACTAGTTATGCTCTGTTTTGTAATTTGAGCTGCAGGCGAACAGCGTCGCGATATCAAAGGAACGGTCAATCGGAAAATGTTTTAATTTGAATTAAAAAAAAATATATAAACACATTTCTACCAAGAGAGATCAACCTGTAGCAATACAGCATATGAAGTAGGTTTTTACAATTTTATATACATATCTATATCTCATGGAATGTAATTCATATATGCCTTTTGGCTGGAAAGCGAAGTGCAGAGAGTCTTTTGCCAAAATGGAAGGGCACGGGAACCTCTCAAAAGTCCACACTGCTCAATTATCGCCCTTTTCCTCTGTTTCTATCATTGTAACATAGCTACAGCGGGCAGAGCCTTTTTCCGAGACAGTCGCGACGTGTTTGTGGTTCAGTCGCAATTTAGTCGCGCTCCTTAAAAACATTGAATGACGTGAAGGTGGTGTTGTAATTTTTTTTATTGCGGCGAGTTGGTGAGCATGCAATGGTCAGTCCCCTGGTATTCGAGGGTGCACCCTCGACTAATTTGTTCACATAGTGGCGTCACGCGGTATGCGGCGGGCCCGTGTTTGGAAAGTTACGGATTTCAGCTTTAATGTTGTGTTGCTGTGTTGTGATGTTCAAATCTCGTGGTTTTTTTTTTTTCCCCGAGCATAATTTGGGAGTCGCCAAGCGGGATGTACACTTTTATTTTTTTCCATAATGATTGCAAACAAGTCCTTATTGAGTTTTTCTTTTCCAAGGCAAACTGATGAGCGTGAAGCTTTCGACTAGCCGCCTCCGTACTGCGCCGGGAATGGGAGACCGATCGGGTTGTTATCGTTGCGGGCAGGAAGGCCACTGGTCCAAAGAATGCCCGCTAGATCAAAACGGCTACCACAGAAACGGCTCAGAGCCAAACTCTGATGGATTCGATGCTTCGAGGTTTGACGGGCGTGCTCAGAACCGGGCTTATCAAGCGGGCTTCAGCGGCGCGGAAGTGGAATATGGCGCCGGCTACGCTCCTGTGCCTGGCGTTTCCCGTGGTGCCGGTCACAGCGGGAATGCGGCGCCGTTCAGACCCGGTCCGGGCTTCGAGAATGCAGCGAGATTCGGGCCGCATCCAGGTTACGGCGTGTCCGGCACCGGGGCCGCATACCAGACCGACGGCTCGTACTATGGCGCGGTACCTGGCTACCCGATGCGGCGGTCGCCTTACGAGGAGCGAGATCCGTACGGAGTTGTGGACTACTACGGGAAGTACAGGGCCAATATGTACGGCGCCGGTTATTTCGAGGAACAACGCGCCGCCGTGCCCACGCCTGCTGCAACAGCGGCCACTTCAACCACGCCTGTTCGTGCGCCGTCGTCTAGCGTCGACGCATATCAGGTCCCTCAGGTCCCTGCTACACCGGTTGCCCCGTTCGTGCAACGGGACCGGAGTCCGATTCGGAGAACCCCTACTGAGGGTGAAGGATACACGTATCCTCCGGGTTCGCAGATCCCCACGGTGGCCACTACTGCCAATAAGTACTACCTCTAACTATCCGCGGGATCCCGGCGACATTTGTCTCACGCAGCCAACATGACAGCTGTTCGTGGGTTAGCTTAGCCGTTCAGCATGCGGCCACTAGTATTATCGAATGAGATCTAGTTGCTCATGTGTCAAGACAAAAAAAAAAAAAGAAAAAAATCAAATTAATCAGTGTCCAACTTTGTAAGGCAGAAAGTCTGTGAATACATTCACGTTCCACTCCATTTGGAAGTAGCAACATTCTTTAAAAGTTCAGTCAGTGTAATAGTGCATGTTGCAAAGATTTTGACTTTTTCTTTTTAGCCAAGTCTTTCTGAAATGTGTTTTTTGCTTTTTAGTGTAGTTCTGAGACTAACCGTATAGCTACGTAATTGAGGCAATGGTAGAACATGTAAATACTATGCTTAAATTGCCTACATTTTAGTTGAGACTTGCTAGCGCATCAAACCAGGCCTACCCATTTGTTCTAGTGGGAATGCCTCAATTTTTTTTTTTCCCATGCAGTATAATAGAAATGTCTCTTTGGGTTATAGTAGAAAAAAATTGTGATATTGCATTGCTGTTAACACCCACACTATTTTTTCCATCAAATTTTGATTCATTATATGGACCGCTTGATGTCTTTGTTGTCGCCTCCTAAATAAACAGAATTAAGTCAACTTTTGGGTGTGTTTCAATTCCATTTTGGGGCGTAGACACTAATGCTACCTGTAACCATCTTATTACGCCAGTGATCAGACCTTGATCAACCATTGGCCTTTAATTTTCTAGTCAATACATAAGCAGACGACACTAGACAAGTTAATAGGTGCTTGATTTTTACACTGTCACGTTCAACCTGAGTACTTAAAAACTGTAGTTGCGAATGCTGTGCATTCAACTTTGGCTCATGAAGTGAGTTGCAGGGTTCGTTCAAATAAGTCATTTTTCCTTGTCATAGTCTAAAATGGCACGCTTTTGGTTCTGGGAAGAAGCCCACGCGCGATTTGAAAGTTGTGCGGCTGCCACTGTCATGGGGAAAAAAAAAAAACGTAAAAATTTCAAAAGTTGTCATCCTGAAAACGATTAACCTTGTACACTTGTGATCGTGCCGAAGTGGACGAGGAGGAAGGCAAACGCTTTGACATGTCGGTTTGCTTGTGTCCTTGTGACGTCACGTGGGAGGCGATGCTTCTTTCGGCCAATAGGAGGGCGTCGTAATGGTGCGTCCGCTCGCAGCCTGCCGCGGGAGAGCTCGCGACTGTCTTTTGTGGTTTTTGAGCGGGGCGCCATTTTGATGACTCGAAAGCGGCTCGCGAAACTCACAGCGCGAGGCGACCAGCTCCTTTTCAGCACATTTCGGGCCCCCACTAATCCGCTTCTTTTTCGACAGCGAGTGGACTGGGCAAAATGGCTACGGGAGCAAACGCAACTCCATTGGGAAAGTTGCACCCCAGCATCGGCGCCAAACGTGGCTTCGACGCGGGGCCCGGCGCTGACAACGGAATGATGCCGAACCCGAGGCCTCCCGCCTCCTTTCCGCCTATACAAGGATTCCAGCCTGCGATGCCATCCCCGGCTTTTGCGCAGACGCACCAGTTTAGCGCACCGGGTGGGTTTTCGCCCCAGGCGCCTACACAGCAGCCGCTCGGCGGACAAGGTAAGGACACAGCTTCTTGCTCGTGCCGCGGCAAATGAACGTGAAGTGATTTTACCACGCTCGCGGTGGCCAGTTAGCATGGTGGCGTGGGTTCCACACAGCCTCGGATCAAAACACAAACGGAAAATAGTTTTGTTCGTCGTACTTATCGGTGCTCGTTCGCCTCAACACCAAACGAAAGTTCCGAACAGTTGGAAGGTGCGACATGTGTTCTGACACATCAAGTCAGCATCCCCATTGAAATGAATTGGAATTCCGTCCAAGCGCAAATAAGGCGCCGTCATTTTTATGTTTTTATTCAAATAAAAACTGGCCACCACGTTGTGCCAAATAAAAAAGCATAATAAAACAGAACGTCATGAATTAAAATTGTATTACGAAGAATAAATTACGTTTGGATAACTACGGCGTCCCCGAAATGGGCGTGACCTAGTGAGTGACGTTTGTTGTGTGGTCTCCACTGATGCGTTGGGCCCAGGCGTCCCCGCTGTTAAGCACTCGCGGATTTACCCTTTTTGGGGGGGGGGGGGGGGGGGGGGTAAAATCAATATTTTTTTCGATGCATTTATAATGGACGTCAGTTATAGGGGTACCCTGATCCGATATCAGCCAGAACCAACAGTATTGAATGTAACCGGTCTCAATCCCAAATCTCTGGGATTTGCGCTCATATGCAATTACAATTTGATTATTGTTAGGGTTAATTCTCAGGATCCTTCAATTTATTTACATTTATTTTATTCAAATGAAGTACATTTTCATCTCTGTAAACCAAATGTAATGAAAAAATGTCATCTTTTGTCATACCTGTTGTTGCTGACTATTGTTCATCGTCGCATCTTAGCTTCATTGAAAACTAGCCTCATCTGACTTGCCCTGCGATTGGCTTGCAACCAGTCCAGGGTCGACCCTGCCTCTCGCCCAAAGCCAGTTGGGATAGGCTCCAGCTTGTCCGTGACCCAAATGAGGATAAGCGCTATTGAAATTTGGTGACCATAGTAAGCGCAATTAAAAACAAAGCGTCAGAAAGTTATTGATTTATATTTGAAAAGAGTCCCTTGCTTTTGAAATAGATCATTGTCATCGTCAATTTCTTGCCGTCTTGCGTGTGTGAAAATAAATTGTGGATGTTGCCGGTGACAGTTTTTTCAAATCGTACATTGAGGAGCTGATTATAATTTTTGTTTTCGCCATTTTAATGTGTTGCGCTGTTTTCAGAGCGCCTGTGTGTGATTTAACTCTTGGAATCGGACCCTTGTGGGGATTAGCGAATTAGAAAAGTGATGGATGGATTATTGACTGTCTTGTGTGAATTTTTCCTGCTGCTTCATCTCTACTATGGATTTCGCTAGCCTACCCAGCTTGACCAGTCCACACCGCTTTGTTGATGCTTGCGCAGTTAAATAACATTGGGGAAAAAAATGTAACAGTGAGTCAAACCCAGTTCGGTTTCTCTTTGTAGATTTCAACCAGAAGAAACAACGAAAGAAGAGCCGGTGGAGTAGTGAGACGCCTGATCAGAAAACTGTCATACCGGGTATGCCCACTGTCATCCCCCCTGGTCTGACCCGGGACCAAGAGAGAGCCTACATAGGTAATATTTCAGAAATATTTTACGATGATCTCATGTCACATGTCGGCCGGTCCCGGACACTTGCTTTAAATGTAGAAGGTTACTTTTTACATTTGGTTTGTATCTCATATCTACACAGTGCATAAAGAGGATTTGATTTTTCTTCCATTTTTACTAAACCACCCGAAGTTAATTGTTAACTCTGGTCATCTTCTGAGTGGTGTTTTCCTGGCGCAAACCTGCATCCCATTGGGCTGCCATTAGCAAGGCGCAGTGTTTGTCGAATGATGAAACGCCACCGCTTGCTGATATCTGTCCATAAGCTGCAGGTCACACGTCACCATCTTGCCTGCCCCCCCTCCCCGTCCCTACCCAACACCACACCGATTTTGTATCTGTGCATGGGAGCTCATAATGTCCTTCCTTAACATGCTAAAGTTCTGCTTTGTGTATTTAAAAAAATCTATATATTTAGTTGGTGGTGGGGTGGGAGGGTTAGAGTGCGAGCAATGCTGCTTCAATGGCAAACCAATCGAGCAATTTCAGACTTGCCATGCAAAACCACGCCAACTCATCGAAAGCGATTGTTTGGGTGAGAAGCAGCAGTGTAGCACCCACAGACTGCCTTCATGGGCCCTCAATGGCGTTCTCAGAAGCATACACACACATGCGTCAGTTTCACCTATAACTGACATTGTGAGCCATGTCCAGTCATTGGTAATGTTTGTTCGCCGCTGGTATGTGTGCCCACTTTTACGTTGTCGCACTTGGCTGTTTCTTTTGCCCATTCACAAATACAATATGGGCACTATCCACTTCCTTCTTTTATTTTCATTTCTGGTAGCATTCGAACAGATGATAAGCTGCTGCGTTTGAAAGCTTAGTCTTCCTCAACTCATGGCTCAGAAATTGACTTTGGAGCAGATGTTCTTAGAACAACTGCAAAGCGTCGGGTGTCAAAAGGTGATAGCCCCACATCTGTTCAATGATACTTGGAACAAAATTGAAAGAAAAAAAAAGCGAGTGAATAGTGACTTTTAGGGCACCCTGTACACGGGGATGCTGACAATTGAATCTGCTAATTGACGCCAACGATATCGAGACAATTTGATATTTTTTTACTTTATTTTTTAAATGAGAGGTGCGCCGATTTAATCAGCCTGCGGCAAAACAGGCAGCATTGCCCCGCTGCCTCTTTTAAATTTGACGCCGCCAGCCTCACAATAAAATGATTGAAAACCCCACTGAAGGAAGTATGGGGCATGGATGGCAATTCATGCGGCTGCGCTAAATGCAATCGGTGCATCTCTACTCATGGAAATGTGAGGCAAGATGGAGTCATCAGAAAATGAAGGGAAAAAAGATGCGGTGATCATGAGCCATTTCACAGAGAACGTTGTGTGAATGCTATTTGTCCTGCTACTTTGCACTGTTGGTTGAAAAATAAATAATAATAATAATAACGATGGTCCGAAAAGCTCGAACTTTCTCTGTGAACTACACGCAGGCTGTGTTCGGAATCACCATATTGACCCACCAATGCCATCGAGTTGCCCATTTGAGAGTTTGCCCATTTTGAGCCATCAATGTAGCCCACACAGCCTTTTCCAAAGGAGGCAACAACAACTTAGTCAGCAGAAAAAGCATTGCATCCCATGATGCATTGCGCCCATGCAGAAAAAGGAATGTCACGGCATGGATGGCCAGGAACTGCTTTGTAGTGATCTTGTCAAATTCCGTCAGCTCAAAGCAAGGCGAACTGTGCCTGTTCAGTCTTCATGACCGAAGGTCCACCAGCTGAACTAAATTCTTGACGTGGTTGGTGCCCAAGTTACGGAATGGCCACTCAAGACGGGGTGTGGGGGGAGGTCGAAGAAAGTCAGAATTTGATTTTAAAAAAAATTTAGCTCCACTGGCCCCAATCCTCTTCCGTACCAAGTACAGTCGAGCCTCGGTTCAACGTACATAGCGAATTTGTACGTTATAGCGGTAGTTTGTTGATACCATTTCCAATAAAATGGCCGCTAACTACGATGTAGAATACAGTATGGAACGTTTCTCGGTGTAAAAATGTGAACGTGTCATACAGTGTCAACATGTCACTTACAAATACGTGCATATGAAGAAAAAAATGCTTGGTCGGGACTTTGAAATGTGAACGTTACAGGGGTGGAAATGTTGAAACGGGGTTCGACTCCAGTGTTCCAAATCAGTTTTTTTCATTCAGCTGATAAGTCAACGAAATAATAGTGAGCAAATAATTTCGAACACAGCCGCACAATGTCATTGTTGCGCTTGCTTATGATCTGGTCCCATTCTGGCATAAATGTAGCGCTTTCAACGAGGCGTTCTTGCGGTGATCTGTCGTGCGAGGCTTAACCTGCTTTGTCATCGTCTACGATGCGCATCGCACTGCTAATGTTAGGACCGAGGCGGAAGTTGTGACTTGAATGCCGTTTTCCCGTGTTTGTCTCACATGTAATTGAAATGCCCGTTGCGTTTCATCTTTTTGTGACCTCATGAATGAGCGAGACGGTGCTCCCCTGTCGGGGGCGTCGTCGTCTTTTTGATGGTGTTGTGATAACCGCATTTCTCCCCATCCTTGTTTTCTTTCCTAACCTGAATTCTTCCAGTCCAACTGCAGATCGAAGACCTGACACGTAAACTGCGTACAGGAGACCTGGGAATCCCTGTTAACCCTGAGGACAGGTCGGAAAAAGATTAAACCCATGAACAGTAACTCTTTCTCTACCTTATTGACATACTTTTGTTTGGGTTTTTTTTTTTTTTTGGGATGGGGTAATGCTCATTTTCAGTACGTTTCCATGTTGTGTTGTGGATAGAATGAGTCTTAAGATGTGTTAGATTTGACAGATCTAGATTTTAAAATCGTAGCTGTACACAAGTGACTCATCATTTGCTAATGATAAAAAGACTTGCAAGAAAGGCTTGAACCTTCACTCTTCTTGAATGCTGTTTTTTAAGTAGTGATAGAATTTTAATACCCAAGGTTTTTTTCAGTTTGTGGGCGCAAATGTGATGTTAGAATAAGAGCAAATACCCGACGTTACGCGTCATGATTTGTTTTTCAAACAGGTTTGTGTCAAAAGCCATACAACAACCTTTAAAGCCGTATTTTTGTAATAAATGTTTTTTAAGTAGCCAGAGAGAGCGAGAGAGGGAGCCTCATGAGGTTCAGCCTGTGTGATCCTCTTTAGTGGACAGCAGCGGACAAGAAGATCACATGGTATATTTGATGAGTTAAGCAGGAAAGAAATTCAGCGGCCCCCAGTAGATCTTCGGCAGGAAGTGGCTTGCTCTCAGGAGCGTGTGAAGTTGACCTCGGCTTTTTTTTGTTTTTTTCCCGTCAATATTGCGATTGCCATTTGAATTGTGATTATTTTTTTTTCCCGTTCCCGGCACGGTCCTCTTCTGTAAAAAAAATGATGTGGATCACAATGAACATTTATTCTGCATACATATTTTTGTCAAATAGTTTTATGCTAAAATTAAGCCGAATTAAACTGAATTGATGGACTTCAATTCAGCCACGTAACGCACCCATCCACATCCTGAACCATATATTACAGTCGTGCATGGACAAATTGCCACAAACACACACGTTGGCGCAGCTAATGCACGCCAACACAACAAATACAAATCTTGTAGCATCAAATTATCATTAGCGCACAGTTGCAGCCAAACGTGAATTTCTTTTCCGGACTATAAGTCGCACCACCCCAAAAATGCATCAAGAGGTAGACCAAAACCCATACAAAAGTTGCACTGGAGTATGTCGCTTTTTTTGTTTTTGTCAGAAATTTATTTTGCAAAATACTAGATCAAAAAGAGACATTTAATATTGCAAGGCAAGTTCGAACACGAATAAATGAAGAAAGAACAGGCTGAACAGGTCAAAGATTTTTTTGCACAGTGAAATTTAATTCAGCTACACGAAAAATAAACATGAATAGAAATAGCATCAGGAACAAAACAAGTTGATATTAGGGAATCACAATCTCACTCGAAATCACCCCATCTGTGGAATTCTTCGTCCTCGGTGTCACTTCTGAATCAGTCCGCCCATTCCGGAGGAAGACCAAGTGGGACTTCGGCTTCCGCATGGCTTGTCGTCAGACTCGGAATGAGTTCCAGTTGCAATGTTTACTACGGCCTTTCTGAGTCCAGACCGGATGGTCTTGGTTGTCACTGAAGCCCGGGCTTTGTCCATCTTAAAGTTGCACGGTGCATCCTCCCGGTTGCTGTGAAGCTACACTGTCTATTTTTTCACGTACAAGAAGTCACAGAATAGAAGTCACAGAACTAGCCGACATAGGGGAAAAAAAAACAATGTGACTTATAGTCCGGAAAATACGGTATTTTTAATTTTTAATTAATATTGGTGGCTGTCAGTAAGTTCTACTTTCCACATTTGGTTGGATTATTTAGTTTTTTTCTTTAAAAAAAAAAAGCATAATTTTCACTGGCCCAATTTAATATAGTTTCCGAGATATTTGGGAAAGTATTAAATTGTACCCTGATGGTACAGTGTGTGTGTGCGTGCGTGTGTGTGCGTGCGTGTGTGTGTGCTTGTGCGCGCGCGTGCGCGTACATACATAACGATCTGAAAATTGCATTCTCCACTGCGATGTCGATTTGGATTCAATTAATTGTTCAACCATACCCCACTTTACAGGATAATCTTTCAGGGACATCCGATAATGGGGCCTTTGCCGACCTTGATTGTGGGGGCGGTCTTGAATTCTCCAATTAGACCCAATTGTCAGTATGTGTCTACCCCACTTGAGCATCCCTGCCGTCTGTACGTGCTGAAGAGTTTGTAAACACACAAGCAGCCGTTTTCACAGCCAGCCTAAAGGTTGAATTTTGCAGCTCAAGCCCTCTTTTGCATCGTTCCCAAATCTATTGGGACAATCAAGCGGAGGTGCTTCACATCGTCACCGCTGGACTGATTTTTTTTTTTGTAATGGCTCCCTTCATGTGCTTTATGTCACATGGTGAACAAATGTCTCTCTGCGCTGGGAGATCGTACGTAGGAAAAGGTGGATATCTAATCCTAATTCCTTTCCTCTAACCCAAATTACCCCACGTCAACCTAACCCTTTTTTAAGCACAGAGCCTCCCTAACGCAGCAATGCAGGTTTTCAGCATCCAAGGGGAGGTACGGACCTCTTCCGCCACGTCGGCACCGAGCAGCTCTCAGCGCCTCTGCTTAGAATTTCATTTTCCTCCCAACCTTTCTCTCTTTTAGGCCAACAAATCCTGTATGCAGGTGTAACTCTGGCCATGCATTTGCTTTGTCGCCCCTTCAGGGTATCGGAGCTCTGCTTACAGTCACGCTGGTTACTCAGAGTTCTCTTCAACGGTGTGTGACGTGTTAGTGCCGTATTCATAAATCACTTTCTCCAGCACTGGCGGCAACAAGTCACATTAGAATACACCGTTGTTATTCAGTAGATCGCACTTTTGATGCCCTGATATGGTCTCAGCATTACAGTTAGGGGAGAACAAAAAAGAAAAAAAACAGTTTAGCCATAGGGAGAATTTCTGACTACCTAATTGCAAATCGGCCTGCTCGGTGTTGAGGGGGGTGAAGAAAAAAGGCTGACCGTTTGCTTGTTGTCTCCCGTCTCTGCCTGCAGGTCTCCCTCGCCGGAGCCCATTTACAACAGCGAGGGCAAGAGGCTGAACACGCGCGAGTATCGCACGCGCAAGAAGATCGAGGAGGAGCGCCACGCCCTTATCACCGAAATGGTCGGCCTCAACCCCGAGTTCAAACCGCCTGCCGATTATAAGTACGTGTTCGAATGCGGCGGGAAGGAAGTTGGTGACTTTACCAGATATGCAGACGCACATGTGAAACCCCCCCAAAACGCCACCCCTGCCAACCCCCCCCCCCCCCCCCCAAAAAAAAAACTTGAACATAGCGGTATAAAAGTTGTTTTATTGAATTACACTCGTTCTTATTTTCATTTACTTTTTAATGTCATTGTAATTGGCCAATTATTCTATATATTTTAAAATAATTGTTAACCAATTATTTAATAAAATTCAAAAGTTGGGCCGCAACCGATGATTATTTTCAGTGAATCTTGATTTATTTTGTCTGAGTTAGATGAAAAAAACGTGTGAAACAGTAACTCAAATCCACTTAATTTCCATCCTTATATTAGAAAACGGAAATACTTGAAGTGGACAACGCAGAAAATTCACAAATTGATCATGATTCAATGACTAGTTTGCCCCGTAAAATCCTCAAGAATGTTGATTGTTTTTCAAAGTGAAAGCAGATGTTTACAAATGTATTTTGATTCACCACGGATATAAATCCTGTGCCGCCTTTACTCATTTCGCAACCCTCAGCGGTTATAGTTCGCCAACTTATTTTTCAGGTCCAATGAACACCTTTAGAAATGCATCTGTCCACTGAAAATGACATCATCTGTGCTCACGGCTCGAGTAAGGACCCATCGTAGATCCTTCACAAGTGGAGCCGTCATGGATCCTTAGAGGATCCCTGAGTGCATGTGATGTCATTTTCAGTCGGCAAATGTATTTTTAAAGGTGTTCCTTCAATGTGAAAAATAAGGAAGTTATCCAATTCGTTGAAAGGCAAAATATGAACCTTTTACTGCTAAAATGGCAACATCAAGTCTACCTCGACATCCTGACAGGCTAAAATTCCAAAGATTTGGGCAATTTTCAACAAGGTCTCAGAATGTTTCGGTGTCAAAATAATGATCGATGAGTTTGATTTTTAATTAGTTGTTGAATAATTGTTGCTCCTCTATTGACAAATCCCAACCTATGATATACGGGGATGAATGAATAAAAGTGAATTAATGAGTTTTAAGGGAAGGGTGGGCGGGTGGACAAAACAAATGCCACTGATATTACAGGACTCTTGAAAATGTCAACGTTCACTGGGCCAAACCGGGCCCATTCTTGTTTTTTTTTTTTGCCACAAGTTAGTGTGTCCATTGCCCTGGTTTTCTGTGCAGACCCCCGGCCACCAGAGTCAATGACAAAGTGATGATTCCGCAAGACGAATACCCCGAGATCAACTTTGTCGGTCTGCTTATCGGACCGCGGTGAGTTTGAAGTTCACGGTGGTGTCTGTGTCATCTTTGCGCCATCTTATTTTGTGTGTGTTTTTGGCGCGGGGGTTGTTGATGACCAGAGGAAACACCTTGAAGAACATTGAAAAAGAATGCTGTGCCAAAATCATGATCCGCGGCAAAGGCTCCGTGAAGGAGGGCAAGGTGGGCAGGAAGGACGGACAGATGCTGCCCGGCGAGGACGAGCCTCTGCACGCCCTGGTCACGGCCAACACCATGGAGAATGTCAAGAAGGCCGTGGAGCAGGTGTTTACTCGGAGCGGCCCCACCCGCGATTTTCCTTTTGCTTTCGACCGCCTTTGACCGAATGATGTGCCCGCAGATCCGCAATATTCTGAAGCAAGGCATCGAGACGCCCGAGGACCAGAACGACCTGCGCAAGATGCAGCTGAGAGAGCTGGCCAGGCTCAACGGCACGCTGAGAGAAGACGACAACAGGTCATTATGTTCGCGTCACACCGCCGATCCCATCCCGAATGGCACCTTTCGCGACAACTGCAAGCAAGCGCTCTCGTAGACAACATTGACGTGACATATACAAAGACGCCTTCTTGAGTGCCTCGACGCCGCGGCCCTATTGGATGTGGCAAACTGAAGCAAGTTGGGAAGATGCTTCCTTGGAGATCTATCATCAAGCCAAATATGTAGTTACCGCTTTTGATTGAATGATGTTATCCTAGCTCAGTTTTACGAGCCGAACTTATAGCTATTTTCAACGCCACATTACGGTATGGCGGACGGGCTGACATATCGCTCCGACATGGTTCAACAATTGTCTGCTGCAGAATCGAAAAGAAAAAGGACAACAATATTTCTTTTCATTTTCGATTTCCAAAGAGTTGAGGGCTGCCACGGAGTCTCGTATTTAATGGCTCTTTCGTTGCTGACGCACGCAAATGTAATTTGTCCTTTCTCACTTGCCGTACAGTGATGCAATATGACAGTCTAAACCCGTAATGTAGGAATCTCAAGGTCGCCTCTTGTGCCAAAACTGCGATCGATGGTCACCACAGTTTATGTGGACATCTTTACTTCACGCTCACATCGACCTCTGAAAATATGAGAATGATCGCCCAGGTGTTGCGCATTTTTGGGTGTTTTCCTCGTCATAGAGGCGCTCGCGACAAAGCTTATGTCGCTTCGCGAGAGAAACGCGTCCAAACAAACCTTTATAATTTTTTACAAGTGGTTTTTGCTTGACATGCTCTTCACTCATAAGGATGTGAACAGCAAGAGTTTTTCAGTATTGTTTCAAGCCAATCGGCCTCCTGTTGTCCAGCAAGACAAAGCAATTGAAACCCGTCGTGTCCGTAGGATCCTGCGTCCTTGGCAGAACACGGAGCCCCGCAGCATCACCAACACCACCCTGTGTACAAAGTGTGGAGGGGCAGGCCACATCTCCTCGGACTGCAAGTACACCAGGTAACGATGAAAGCCTTCCGTTTTTACTCGACTCGTTCCTGACGAGTAAACTAAATGTCTTCTCGTTTGCGCGCCGTGAAGTACCTTCGCTGCCCAAAGAGCAACGGGCGGCGAGCCCCCACAGTCGGCGCAGGACAAGGCTCGTATGGACAAGGAGTACCTGTCGCTCATGGCCGAGCTCGGGGAGGCCCCGCTGCCGACGTCCGGCGGGGGGCCCCCCAGCCAGCATGGAGGACCCCCCCGGGCCTCCGGACCCAGCAGTGGCCAGGGACCACCGGTATTGATTTTTTTTGGATGGAGATACTCCCGCTGCAATTGAATTTGTTTCGGACTAATCGCGTGTCTCCCGACAGAGCCGGCCTCCCTGGATGGGCTCTGCTTCCAGCGACAACAGGAACTTCCACGCCATGCATGGAGGAGGCCATCACAACTTCCCTCCCCCCATGCCCAGCATGGGCGGCCCTCCCATGCCCCCCAACCCCAACGGCATGCCTCCCCCGTGGATGCAGCCTCCCCCTCCGCCCATGGGCCAGGGCCCCGGACATCACGGGCACCCCATGGGTGAGCGCAAACACTCTTCGACACGTTTGGCAACGTCTTGTGACGACTCGGTGCGTTCCGGAGAGCGCGCCAAAAATGCAAAAAAGTATTGCGCTGATTTGCTGGGAATAGGTTATTGTGAGTATTGAATTGCAAATATCCTCAAATGGATTTGTGATCTATTTCAGCGCTGTGGAGCGACTGGCAGAACGAGTCAATGCGCTTCCACTAAGTGGCAGAAGATACATAATCCACCTTCTGCTATTTATACAATAGAATCAGACACACCAAAGTTATTACAATGTGCACTGTAATAAAAGTGTCTGAAAATTGACGAAGAAACTATAATTGGAAAAAGTATTTTGCGTCCCGCCGTCCATGATCTGTTCTGCTTATCCTCATGAGCGTGGCGGGTGTGCCGGAGCCTATCCCGGCAGCTGTCTTTGGGCAGAAGGCGAGACCACTCGCAGGGCACGCGAAGACAAACAACCGTTTGTGCTCACAATCAATCTTGGGGGGGGCACTTTAGAGCATTCCATTAATTAACCTGCCATGGATGTTTTTGGAATGCGAGGGGAAACTGGAGTACCCGGAGAAAATCCACGTAGGCACGGGGAAGATGTGCAAACTCCACACAGGTAAGTAAGTCGGAGACTGGACGGAATCGAACCCACGATCTCTGCACTCTCAGGCCGATGTGCTAACCAGCCGGGCAGGTGCTGCAAATCAACTGAAAGTCCATCTTAGTTTTCCGAAGCTAACTAGAGCGAAAATGGCCTTTGTTTTTGTCTTACATGAGCTTTTGGGGTTAATTTCAAATGTATTGATTTTGGTAGGATACGTCCTCCATACAGGAGGAGGAAGCATCATGAAACAGTCATTTGAGAATAGTAGTTGTGTTCGTTTTTAATCTTGCACTTGACAAGTAATCTATATAATTTTTTCAAAATGATTAAACCTAAACAACAAAAAGCATTTAAAAAACCCTGCTTTACAAACTAATCAAAACAGCAAACCAAAAATGTCAAAACCATCATGAAAAGCTGAAAATTGTAACGCAGAGACACACTCGCGCACACATTCTGAGTAAAGGGAGACAAGATCGTTGTTTCGATATGTAAACTTTCCCTGCTATTTTTGTTTGTAGTGTATGGTGAGACTCTTCAAATGTATAAAAAAAAAAAGCCACTTTGGCTTGATAAAGGATGTGAAGTACTGCTTGAAAAGTGTGGGGGTTCACGTTATTGCCATGTGGATTGTGTTGTCCTGTTCAGGCATGATGCCACCCCCAATGGGCATGATGCCCCCTCCGCCGCCTCCTCCCAACAGTCAGCCGCCGCCACCTCCGTCCGGTCCTTTGCCGCCGTGGCAACAGCAGGCCCCTCCGCCACCGCCGACGAGCAGCATGGCAACAAGCACACCACTGCCCTGGCAACAAAGTAAGAACACCCAAAAATTGACACACTCATTCATTCATTCATTCATTCAGCAATTAACCCTCCTCTCCCACCGCCCCCGCCAAGATACCCCCACCACATCCAGCCCTGGCACAGGGTCTCTCCCTCCATGGCAACAGCCGCAGCAGCCCGTGGCCTCTGCGCCCCAGCCCCCACCTCCGATGGGCGCCCCCTCCATGGTGCCACCGCCCCCGGGGGTCCAGCCACCCCTCCCGCCCGGTGCCCCCCCTCCCCCGCCCCCGCCGCCCCCTGGCTCAGCCAGCATGATGTATGCCCCGCCCCCGCCACCCCCGCCGCCAATGGACCCTTCCAACTTTGTCATGATGGGAATGGGGGTACCGGGCATGCCCCCGTTTGGCATGCCCCCAGCACCTCCGCCGCCTCCGCCCCAAAATTAACAACCTAATGTGAAGAGAAGTGTCCGCGTCGCATTCAATAGACTGAGGTCATCTACACACATATAACCTGTGAGTTTTGTATGCCACCGGGCAGAATTAAGGGAGATACTTTAGAATCGGGGTTGGGGGGGGTGGGGGGCAGTTTGAAGTCCCAAGTGTCAAATGAATACGAGGTCAATCAATAGCGGGGCATTCTGTGTGATTGGCAGATGCCCGGTGGGATACAATGCGGTCGTCTCGGATCACGCGTTTCTAGTTTTGTATGGTTCCTGTCTTGTAACAAACAACACATCTACTGCAGATACGATGTTAGTTCACTTGGTGTCAAGTTGAAGAGTTCTTCTCTTTTTAAAGTTTGTATCACTGCAAAAGCTCCTCGTGTGTGTGTGCGCGCGTGTGTGTGTAAAAACACTTGCTCTCAGGCCTCAGTTCTGCAGTGCTATGCAGTTTGTTTTGGTTTGTCTACTGATTAAAGCACCCATTGGGTAAATTTGATGACTTGCATGATCCATTTCAAGAGCTGATTGTGTTTCGAGTGAACGAGGTCCCCATGACAATGTCCGTTGTTGGGTTTGAGTTCACGAAGAGTCATATTTTTGTAATAAAAAGTGATGTGTTTTAGTTTTTGAGGATTTGTTTGCATGTTTCTCAGTTGTGACATTTGCGTTTGAACAAGGGGGAACATTGTACTCCAAACCCTTCTGGACTATTTAAATGCTGAGACTTAGATCTTTTTTTTTTTAATTATTTTGTTTCTGCAACACCTTCCTCCGATAAAATGAAGCTGTATGCTTTGTCTTATTGTCATACTTCTGCAAGGCCAAACAAACCAAGTAATTGCTATTCCAAGATTCGTTGCATTCTGTTCCTGCTCGCTTGATTGATTAGAAATAAACTGATTCTTTGGAAGGAGTCGTGTCTAAATAAGATTATTTTTGTTAAAGGGGAGGTCAAGTTAAAAACAAAATAATAATCATCAAGGTGTTCTCTGCACCTCGACTCTTGGTTGGGTATTCTGAGTGATATTGCAGAATATAAATTAAAAAAAAAAATCCACTCCTTTTTATTCATTTCAGAGGCCAGCCACTTTACCTTGTACTCGGAGAGGGTGCCCGTCGGGAATTTGGGGAAAATACGGCTGGTGTATTTCCCGGCCAGTCCAATGTTATTATTTTTCGGCACGTGACAGCCGCACCCGTTGCCGACGATGTTTTGACCCATTGACAACTTTTCAACACATGAGGGGTCCCCAACACCCCATCGCAGTCGATTCTTTTTCGGCAAGTGACGGCCACCGTCGATGTATATTCTAAATTTTGTTCCCATCGCGTCTGTACGGCCACCTGCCGTCCACTGAAAATGACAACAGAGTGCCCAAGGTTGTTGGGTAACGGCCGTCATGGTTCACCACTTTTTTGTGTATAGTTCTTGCGCACTGTGATGTCATTTTCAGTTGACAGCAAGTGTCGGGACTGGGCAAGATGGCCACGCACTGAGATGTATAAAAACAGGTAGACCCTTCGTCTTAATTCGTATTCCACACATGAAATATTTATCGGGACCCCGTGTTTAGACGAGTGGGGGGCATAGAACATATACCGTAGTAAAGACATTTTTCCGATGACTTTGTAATTTGTATTTCAGAATACAACTAAGGGGGGGGGTCCTTGGTTTTCAGTGGTGTTCAGTTGTTAATATTTGTGTGTACAAAACCTGTAGGCCATAGACAAATGACAAACACAAGTAAGACATGAAGTGACGTTTTGTACTACATTCAC